GCGTGAGCCACCACGCCCGGCCAGCAGCTGGGTTTTATATTGAGTTCATTCAATTTAGTTCATTTCACTGATTCCTTTTGATGGAGTCAAAGGCTAGGGTGAGATAAAGAAAAGTTGGAAATGTGCTGATTATAGCATATGGCCACAAGAGGAAATATAAGACATATTGATGTCCAGCGGTAGAGTAGGTCTGCCTAAAGTTTGCTTCTTCACTTAAAATACTGCAATTTATTAAGAGACCTGGCTTACATTTTAAATGGAATGTCTTATAAGTGAAAAAGTCTGTAATTTGGGGGGGAGAACAGTAAAGAGCTTCTCTCTTGACAGATCAGATGATCATTCTAATGAGCTAAAAGAAATATATTGCTGCCTACACACACCTAACCCAAACCGCACCACACCAGACTTTCTACTCTGATGACTTGACAATATTTTTGAACAAGTTGGATACACGTTGTGTGGAAGACAGAATGTTGAGTTTCTTCTATATGTTTATGACTCTCATTTTTATGAAATAGGAGTTAACAGTTAATGCTGCAAAAGAATAGCTCTGCGAAAAAGAATGGCTTGGAGTCAACTACTCCAAAAAATATTAATAATAGAAGACCTCATAATTCTGTACCACATACCAATTCATTTAGTGTTTCTAGAGGCATATTTTGCAAGTACTTTATCTCAGAGAATTAACTACTAAATTAAACTGCTTCAGTTGAAAGATTTCTATGAGTGCTTTACTGAGATTTTAATGGCTTGGTGGGCGTTTGGTGACACTAACCTTAAAAATTTTCCAGGCTAAAATTATCTCTGTAATACCATGGCACAGAACTTTGGAACCCAAATTTTCATTTTACCTGTACATGGGAGAGACCCAGAATTGTTTTATGAGGGAGGCAGCCTTTGTCTTGTCCAGAGCACTCTTTTTGCTTTTTTCCATGCATAAATGAGACGCCTTTTGATCAGGAATGTTTCCTAGGGAGGGTCTTGATTTTTCACTAAAATATGTGATTTCTATTCCCAGCTGGGATGATTATGAAAGCATATGGAACTGCCATTAATTGGCAATGTAGAATATTTCCACTCTAGGCCCATGTCAGCAAATATAACTCTTCTTGCTCAATACTAATCAGAAGCTCACTTATGAGATATAATTTTTACTTACAGAGCATTGATTGGAGGTTATGCAGCACATTCATTCTTCTAAGTACTTTAAAATCAATCCTGAGTTAAGGCAGACTGTGGAACCTAGCCCCTCCTAGAACTGCTGCAATGAACCGGGCTTTGGCATTGCACATACCCAATAAGGGCCTTAAAAGAAACACCTGCCACTGGTTTTACACAGTAGGAAGGTTCATGTGGAAGAACATGTTGTACCATAACCCAGAGTGTCATCCTTATGAAGCTTGTCAGAGAAATTTTTCTCCTAAGAAATTATAACACATAAGCATGCAGATTTAAATTATGCAACTGGGCTGGGCAGGGGGGCTCACACCTATAATCCTACCACTTTGGAAGCCTGAGGTCTGGGAGGATTGTTTGAGGCCTGGAGTTCAAAACCAGCCTGAGCAACATATTGAGACCTTGTATCCACAGAAAATAGAAAAATTAGCCGGATGTGGTGGCGCACACCTGTAATCCTAGCTGCTTGGGAGGTTGAGGCAGCAGGATGAGCCCAGGAGTTTGAGGTTGCTGTGAGCTATAATGATGCCACTGCACTCTAGTCTGGGCATCAGAGAGAGACCCTGTATCAAAATGGGGGGGGGGAATCACGTGATTGATTGTATTTTCCTCCTTGCACAGCCTGCTAAGAAACTCAGAGCCAAATCACAAACCACCTAAAGCAAACTTATAGAACTTTATGATTTTTTTTGCATACAATTTTCCCTACAGCATTATCTGATTTAAAAAACTATTGAGGAGAAACTCACACAACATAAAATCAACCATTTTACAGTAAATGGTTCAGCAGCACTTAGTATATTCTTAATGTTGAGCCATCACCACCTCTATCTAATTCCAAAACATTTCTGTTTCACCAAAAGAGATCTTTACTTTCTCTTCCATTTTTCTTTCAATTCTTTAAAATAAAAGTAAAATTTTATTGTATTGTATCCATGTCTGTAAATCCCCACAAATCTTTCTCTCTCTTTCTTTCTTTCTTTCTTTCTTTTTAGAGATAGAGTCTCACTTTGTTGCTCAGGCTGGAGTGCAGTGGTGTGATCATAGCTCACTGCAGCACACAAATCTTTTTTTTTAAATGAGGTAGAATTTCAATAAACAAAACTAAAAAAATCTAATAACAAGCCACACTGTAGGAAATTGAGAAGGAGTAGTCAGGGAATATGAAACTAGGAGGAATCATTTTGTGGAAGCCAGATGAAGGGGTTTCAAGAAGGGAGCCGTTGACAAGAGCCACATGCCAGAAATGTAAAATAAAATGAACAAGAAAATGAGGCTGCTAAGCTGATCAATGAGGAATTTGTCTGTGACTTTTGTGAAAGTCCTGGTCCTCTACCGTGTAGTAAGAGGTGAAAATTTGTGATTAGCAGGTGAGACAGTGGAGACTCAGAAGCCCAAACTATTAATATTTAGAAAAATTGACAGAGTAGTGAAATAGAGAAGAGGCTATGGTTTGAGGGCAAAGCAAGTTTAAGGATATATATATATATATATATATACATATATAAAATAAAGGATGGAGCTACTTAAGCCAAACATACTATAAAAGATGGAGAAAACTTGAATACCAGTCTTGGCTCTGTAGTCAGCTATAATGTGACCTTGATTTTTTAGCCTTGGTTTTCACATCTGTGAAACAGAGTGGCTTCACTAAATTATCTCTAACATTTCTTCCAAATTAGTATTTTATGGTGTATTCATAAATGGAAGGAATGCATAAATAAAATGAAAACAGTAAAGCAATTTGAAAATACAATAATGCTTTCATCGTGATATAGTAGATATACTATTATTTTTGCTAATCTACCCTGAAATGCTGATCCTCTAAGAAAGTTTTATGATATAATGAAAGAAAAGAATGCAGAAAACATTTCCTATCAACCATTTCACCAAAAGTTTTGTTTTGTCCAATCAACTCCAGAATGATTTGGAAGTCAAGATAGTAGTTGATGTGGATTATGGTTAATTATAAATGGCAATAAATTCTTTGATACTTCTCCTATCAAGATATAAGGTTCCCTCCTTTTGCATCTAGGTGGGCTCTGTAACTACCAAGCCATTAGGAGGTGAGCAAAAGATGCTATGCTGTTTCTAGGCCCTTAAGAGATTAAACTACTGACTATTTGAACTCAGCTTGTCATGCTGTGATGAAGCCCAAGTAACCCTGTGGAGACACCTGTGTAGAGAAGAAATGAGGCCCCCTGCCAAGAGCTCTGGGTGAGCACTGATTAGCCAGCCATGTGAGTGAACCATCCTGGAAATGGATCTTCAACACCAGTTGAGATATTCCAGCTTATACAACAATATGGAGCAAAGAAGAGCTGTCCTCACTGGTCCTTGCCCAAATTTCAGATGTATGGGCAAAATAAGTGATTGTTATTTTAGGTCACAACCTTTAAGGGGGCTTTGTAATACAGCAATAAGTAACTGTGTCAAAAGTTAACATCTATTCACGGACAATCACAGAAACCAAATCCAATTTTTATAGATAGTTCTTTTACCATGCCGTATACATATTCCTGAAAAATCTGGCGTTCTCTAAAATTGCATACTAATTGCACACAGGGTTTATTAAGAAAATAGAGTTGAGGTGGACTGATCAAAATCTGCAGAATTTTGTAAAGAGAGCTGTAACTAAAGCAATAACAAACCTATTAAAAATACTAAAATACTAGCCATAACAAATCTCCACTGGCATTTGCACTTAGAATCACAATGCATCCTTAACAGTCTTGGATCTTGGGGCTCATGTTTCTTTAAAGACATTTTTTTCTTGTAGTTTTTTCAGAGTATAGGGGTTCTTGGAGCCACTAAATCAGCTACTTTTTTTTTTTTTTTTTTTTAGACAGAGTCTTACTCTATTGCCCTGGCTAGAGTGCTGTGGCATCAGCCTAGCTCACAGCAACCTCAAACTCCTGGGCTCAAGTGATCCTTCTACCTCAGCCTCCTGAATAGCTGGGACTACAGGCATGTGCCACCATGCCTGGCTAATTTTGTCTATTTTTGGTAGAGATTGGGTCTCCCTTTTGCTCAGGCTGGTCTCAAACTCCTGAGCTCAAATGATCCACCTCCCTCAACCTCCCAGAGTGCTAGGATTCACGCCTGGCCTAAATCAGCTACTTTTTTGCACTAAAAAAAGGCTCTTTGGTAGGACTTGTAGTCCCCCTATCCTACCCCACCCCCACCAAAGTTTTCATATATTGTTAAATATTTCTCTTTAACTATGAGAAAGCTTGATTCTATTGCCTTCAAAATTAATCTTCTTGGAAATTCAAAAGTAAACCAGCAATACTACAGTGTTTACGGACATTCTTCATATTTTTCAATTACACATGTGCTAATTTGGACTAAAGAAACACCTGCAGCAGAACAGACAGTATTGACGGTCAGCCCATAAGAGGCATATGGGAATACACACACCAATTGTAAAGGCCTGATTCACTGTTATCCTGGCCCCTTGTCATGGACTTGGGCCTTATGACCTACCCTGTCCTGATGGATTCTCAGTTTTGAAGCTCAGAAGAGACTGTGATTCTGGGTGGGCAGCAGTGGGTGCTGCTTTGGTTTCAGCTTCCTTTCCACCAAGAAAGGGCTGCCAGTGCTGGCTGGGGGAAGAACTAGAGCTGAAGGAAGGATGCTGGGACTGTCCTCCTCTTCAGAAGGAGGTGGTTCAATGGTCTGCCCTTCTGTTGGAAATGCTGGTGAGAGCAAACCTTCTCCTGGGATGAGGATGGCTTGGTCACTAGTCTTTGAGGTGGTGTCATAAAGGGATTCCTCAAAGTGGATGCTGTCATTTAGCACAGATTTTGTGGGAATAAACTCACCGGGTAGACCATGCTCTGCTCTGTCCACTGTCTCAAACCAGGGTTCACTCAGAGTAAGTTCAGGACTCAAAGTAGCACCCTGAAGAATGGAATTTAGAAAGACAGATATTGAGATGGGACATTTCTCTGTATATGAGAAGGGCTATACTCCACAGCCTTTATTTTCACTTAAATTTGAACAAATCATTTTGTAGTTGACTTGAATCTACTATGGAGGAAGGTTCTGATGTAGAAATATAATCTAAAAGGAAAATATGCATTGATACAGGGTAAAATATGACCTATTGGCTTCTTGGATAACTGAATCTGCCCAGATAGGCTTAATAAATAACTAAAATACTTTGAATTATGTTAATCATGCTAGAATTTGTGAATTCTTTCATTTCAAGAGGGAATAGAGCTTAGTCAGAACTTCTATTTATGAAAACCCCTGGGACAACTTATGGTATAAGTTAAATAAAGAAAAATTTAAATTGAGTACAAAATTATTACTGAATTTATTATTTTTACTATCTAAGGCATTAATATGTATTTATCAATCCCCATAAATAAATATATATAAGAACTTAAGACTTAAACACTAATTTATACAGTATATATGATTATGTGTATATTTATTTCTGAAAGTTAAAGTTAAAAAACATATTCTGCTTTAATTATCCTTTTCAGTTCATAAAAATGTGTTTGCTTTATCAAAAATGGAGCACATCTGAGTATAATTGAAGCAAAGATCTAACTAAAGGAAACTTTAAGTTTTAGGATATTTAAAATGCAAGTAGTATTATATTTTATTAATATAGATACTGAAAGTGGGTTAACCAAGTACTGCCTGTAGAACAAAAAAGAATTATAATTAGCAATGAATAGGATTTTGCTCTGTTCAGTGCTTAAGCTGATTTCTTTTTTTATGAAAGGTTTTGAGATTTTGTTCCTATTTGAAGAACAAAAGGACAACAAACTTGTTTACCTTTGTGATATCAGCAGGGGGCGTAGGCAGCTCTGATTGGGTGTCAGGACCAGAAACAGGCAGTGACCCAACAATTTCTGTAGGCGAAAAATCATAAGGTATGGGTGTATCTTTCCTTTTTCTTTTGTGGTTGGGGCAATAAAACAGTCAAGGTTGAAAAACATGTCAATAACCAATCCTTAGTGAGTAATACAACAAAAAAGCTCATGGATCTGAATAATATATTGAAGGACAAATGCAAAGGGTGCATCTTTCATGTTTATGTGATAAGAATAATTGTTACAGTGGATTTTTAGGGTGTTCAGTCTCATTCTACAGATTTGGACCAAGCAGGCTGGCTAATTGGCTAGACCTGTGGGGATAAAAATATGACCAAGCTGATAAAAAAGAAATGGCTAGAATAAATACTAGAACCAATGACCATTTGTGAATACCTACTTCTATCCTAACGCCTGATTCTTAGAATACCTGAGGAGGCTCAGGTGTTCTTGTATATTGTAAAATATACAAACCCAGAGTATCAGATGGTCTCTGAGATGAGTCTGAAGTTGACTTTTTCTTGCCTACGTGTTCCTCTATCCCTTTATCTTATCCCAAGATACCTTTATGAAGTTCTCCGGCATTAAGAGTTTGCCTATCTAAACCAGAAAAACAGAACTGGCAAACAGAGAATGACCATTTAATGCTATGTCATACTATAATGGCATTTTCAATGTCCATCTGTTTTGCCATTTACTGAGCTTACTGAGGACTTCCAAGCTCCTGGGTCCCTCCAGGCACCCTCTGAGGATGCTGAGCAGGCCTGATTATCAGGTTGGTTTCTTTATATCCACTCTTCCATCCCCTTATTGCTACTTTCTGCCCCAGAAGGTTGACTTATATGGATTACATCAATGGTTCTTTGCCCTCTGTCTATGGGTTGGCTTAGATTATTAGGCAACCGTTTAGGTCTGGAGTAGCAAGGAGGAGGTTTTGCTGCTTCTAGCACAGGGAATTGCCCTAATCCTTTAGGTACAGGCAAACCTTTATAAATAGTCCTTTATCAAACTCTGCTCAGATTATTTTAATTTGAATGTGCCATCTGTTTCCTGCTGGGACCTAACCAATTTACTAGACGAGGGAATCTGTTTAGGTTGTGCCAGGGGAACTGAACTGTCCATGGGTTCTCTCGGCTTGGCATCTCCTGGCTGGCCATGGTTGATCTGGACTGAACTGATACCCTTGAATTCTCCCAGAGCTTTCCTTGGTATGAAGTATTTACCAAAGGCTCATCAAATGAGACATAGGAGGGAATGAGAAAAGACAGATATGGTACCATACGCTATGTGCCTGTCGCAGTAATAATTGACTTTATAAGGCCCAAGTTAAAATGACAGCTTCCATGAGACAGTCACATTGCCTAGTCCCTTTGTCAAAATGAGAATCAAGTCAGAAGTATGAAATCACCAACTGACCATCAGTGAACTGAATTGTCCCCACTTCCAAGGATTGTTCTTCCTCTAGTACTTTGCTGATTAGCTTTTTGAGGTCTATTGCTGTGAGATAGATTTCAGGTTGCTTGTCCTCCTCCACAGTTCCACGGGGGACTCCCTCATGTTCAATTTTGTTGGAATCAAAAGACAGGAGGTCACTGGCAGGGCTTTTTGCTTCTGTGCTCTCTCTCTTAAAGGTGGCTGTAAATCGCATCTCTGTGGAGCTTGAACTGTAGGCAGCAGAGAACAAATCCCCCACCCAAAGCGAATTTATATGCCTTGTAAAAAGAGTCTCTACATTGCTACAAAGCTTCAGGACAATTTCCACCACTTTCCTGATTGGGCTCTTAAAGAATATCACACTTTAAACATTTCAGTATTTATTGGACATTTGAAATGTGAAAAAATAATTGACATGCATTTTAATTCTGAAATAGAATGTCAGCAGGGAGTTAGGTCCAGCTTGCAGAAGGATGATTAGCTGAATCAAGTGACCATAGATTCTTACTTTAGGTCTTTTCGAGAAAGTGTAATTGCAAGAGTTGCTGGTATTGACCCATGTTTTCCTGGTCTTTTAAGTCACCCAGTACCAATCAGGAAGAAGGATGAATTGTCTTTTGTTCTACAAATAGCCTCCTCTAGTGTAGGATATAGCAGTGGGACAATGGTATATACATGTTGTAACCAAGTCAAAGCTTCAGTTCTTAAGGCTATTTTTCTTCTACTTTTCTTCCAAGAAGTATTTTTTAATAAAAAAATAAAACTCTAAATGAAATATAACATTTGTTTTCATTAAGCTGCTTTTAAAATAACGTCTTAGAAGGAAGGTGTGAGAAAAAAGAGAGGGAAGTAGTGCACATTAACTGTATTTATTATCATATTTATTATAATTTAATGCCTTTTTAGGATGTAAAAATGGAACAGGATTCGCTATACCTCTGTCCTTGAGAATCAGGTTTTACCTTTTAGTTCGTGTCATAAATCCACACAAAGGGATACAGAAGTGTTTTAAAGGCCATAGGAACTGATAATGTATGTTTTTGGCAGTTCTTCAGAGCATACAATCAGTCAGAGCCTACAGCTTTTTAATTTCAGTAGCCAATTATGGAGCCAAGCTGGATTCTTATTACTGAGCTCTCCAAGGTATATTGGGTCCTTTTTCCAATTCACAGCGACCTTGGAACCAAGGAGCAAATTAGTTTGTCTGCTTTACTCCAGGCTTAGGTTGGTTGCATGTGTGTGTGCGCATTCAGACACACAACTTTCCATGACAAATGACATTTAAGAAATAGTTAAAGCATGCTTGCACGACAGACATGTGCTCTTATGCTTTCCTAATGAGACCTTGAGTCTTATAGAATCCTCTTCAGCTGACCAAGTCAATGTTTATCTGTATATCAAATAGTGATTTGACTAGAGAGTTTTTTTTTTAACTACTAACTGATCAATCACTTCTATTTAAGTAAGAAACCATCAAAAAGTCATTGGCTTATCTCAGATATTATATATAAAAATTATTTGTACAAAACTAGCATTTAAATTTGTGAGGGAAAAGTATACCCTATTTCAAAACATAAAAAATAAGTCCAAATTACCCATCTTTTTCTTTCTTTGGTCTTCATTTCAGCATGCACAATGGGAGCAGGAAAGGGAGAAATAATTTGACATTTATTGAGACAGTCAATGAATTATTTCATACACAAAAAAGACATAGTCCCTTCCATTGTTTCTTGTATTTGCCCAGAGCTTTGATGGGAACATATAAACTGCCATCAGAATTTAAATGGAAATTTTGAAAGCCATATGAATGTCAGAAATTAAACATCATTATATAATGGTTTTGATTAGGATTTCAGCCTTAGTTCAAAGATTACATGCATTTTTGGTCTTCTTTGCAAACTTTCTGATTTCCTCATATTCCTCCTGAAGAGGCTGCAAATACATCCTAGACATCTTACATTTTAGATGGTGCTGGTGCCAGGAATTTTTTAGAAAGTATTTTGTAAATGGATTTCTCACTGCTGAATGACATTAAATGATTAGTTTAGGTAATTTTCTGGGGAGGAACTCTGGACCTGGAGTTTTGTTGGCTGATTATTTTTTGAATAGCTGTAATCAGTAAGCTTTGAGGGATTGGTCCATTTCACCATGGACAGCTTGCAAGAAAAACAACCACCTGTTTAACGAGTGGGGGTGTGCACCAGGCAGTTTATATGCATTCTCATTTAAACTTTTCAACAACATAATCCCCACTTCACAGATAATGAAACAGGCACAGAGAGGGAAAGGGACAGTTGCAAAGTGGCATACCTACGATTAAAACCCTGTCCTGCCTAACCTGAAGCCTGGGCTCATTTTGCCATGCCAACACCTGCTTGTGCCTGAGAAAAGGCCATTTGTTCACCAAACTGATGAATACATTTTGCATTCCTTTGGGCATATATATATGGGTTTAGTTTAGAAGCTTATATCCAGTTTTTTCCCTTTACATTTCAAATGATAGTTGCTGCCAAAGACACTCTACACATGTGATGGGATTAGTGTCATTGCTTTCTCTGACTGGGCTATGAATTTATCCAACTTTCATCCCCTGATATAACATGACTAACGTGTACATGCTATAGGCATGCTAAAACTTTCCTTCTGTGGAGGAAAGAAAGAATCTATGACTAACTAGTGCTTTTCTGTGAGGAGGGACTTCCTAGTTAGACAGTCAGATGCTTTCTTTCAGTCATGTCATATCTACTGGTCTGTTTTCTCTTTTAAAAATTATTATTTCAATAGATTTAGGGGGTATAAGTGTTTTTTGTCACATGAATGAATTGTATGGTGGTGAAGTCAGAGCTTTTAGTGTACCTGTCACCAGAATAACATACATTGTACTCAATAGGTAATTTTTGATCCCTCACCCTCCTCCTACCCTCCTCTTTTCTTTATTTTCAATGTCCATTATACCATGTAATGTCGATATATACCTATTCTTTAGCTCTCACTTGTGAGAATATGTGGTATTTGTTTTTCCATTCCTAAGATAGTTCACTTAGGATAATGGTCTCCAGCTCCACCTAAGTTGCTGCAAAAGACATTATTTCATTCTTTTTTATAGCTGAGTAGTACTCCATAGTATATGTATATACCACATTGTCTTTATCCACTCATTAACCGACGGGAACTTAGATTGATTCCATGTCTTCGCAATCACAAATTGTGCTGTGATAAACATTCAGGTGCAGGTGTCTTTCTGATATAGTGACTTCTTTTCCTTTGGGTAGATACCCAGTAGTGGGATTGCTGAGCAGGATTGCTGGATCAAATGGTAGGTCTACTTTTAGTTCTTTGAGGAATCTCCATACTGTTTTCCATAGGTGTTGTGCAGATTTACATTCCCATTAACAGTGTATAACCATTCTTTTTCACTGCATCCATGCCAAGACCTATTGCTTTTTGACTTTTTAATAATGGCCATTCTGGTAGGGGTAAGGTGCTATCTCATTGTGGTTTTAATTTGCATTTCCCTGATGATTAGTGATGTTAACCATTTTTTCAATTATGGGCTGTTCATTTTTCTTCCTTTTTCTTATTTCAGAATATTACGGGGGTACAAACATTTTGGTTACATATATTGCCTCTGCACTGCCCAAGTCAGAGTAACAAGTGTGCCCATCCCCCAGAAAGTGCACACTGCACCCATCGGGTATGAATGTTTCTCTTCTTAAAAAAAATTTTGTTCTGCATGCTCTCACGCTCACCCTGCATCCCTGTGGGTGGCATTTTTTTTTACCGATTGGCATTTTTATTTTTTACAAATGGATCTACACCCCCAACTTCCCCCAGCCCAGCTGGGCTTCCTTTGTTGGAGTCATTTGATGATGCTTCCAGGCCAAACTTCCTCTCCTCCCCTCCCCACCCTTGCCACTCTTAAGTATTGAATGTACTTTGTATAATTTTAGTGGAATTATTGTTATTAAAGGAGAATAAAATTTTTACAATCATAAAAAAAAATTTTGTTCTTGTCTTCTGCCAATTTTATGATGAGGTTATTTGTTTTTTCTTGCTGATTTGTTTGAGTTCTTCGTAAATTGTGGCTATTAGTCCTTTGTTGGATGTACAGTTTGCAAATATTTTCTCCTGTTCTCTATGTTGTCTCTTTGCTGTTGTTCCTTTGCTGTGAGTCCCATTTATTTATTTTAGTTGTGGTGGTGGTTGGGGTTTTAGTCATAAATTCTTTGCTTAGGCCAATGTCCAGAGAGTTTTTATTACGTTTTCTTCTAGAATTTTTATATTGTCAGGTCTTACATTTAAGTCTTTATCTAGAGTTAATTTTTGTATATAGTAAAAGACATGGATCCAGTTTCATTCTTCTGAATGTGTCTATCCAATTTTCCCATCACCATTTTTTTGAATAAGGTGTCCTTTCCCCAGTATATGTTTTTGTCTGCTTTGTTTAAGATCAGTTGGTTATAGCCATATGGTTTTATTCCTGGATTCTCTACTCTGTTCCACTGATCTACATGTCTATTTTTATACTAATACCATGCTGTTTTGGTTACTGTGGCCTTGTAGTATAATTTAAAGTCAGGTAATGTGATGACTCCAGATTTGTTTTGTTGTTTAGGGTTGCTTTGCTTATTTGGGTTCTTTTTTGGTTCCATATGAAATTTAGGATTGTTTTTTCTAGTTCTGTGAAAAATGATGCTGGTAGTTTGATGGGTATTGCATTAAATCTATAAATCACTTCAGGCAGTATGAACATTTTAACAATATTGACTCTTCCAATCCATGAGCATAGAATGTTTTTCCATTTGTTTGTGTCATCTGTGATTTCTTGCATCAGTGTTTTGTAGTTTTCCTTATGGAGGTCTTTTACCTCTATGATTAAGTATATTCCCAGGTATTTTATTTTCTTCACAGGTATTGAAAATGGTATTGAGTTCTTGATTTGACTCTCAGCTTGACTGTTATTAATGTACAGAAATGCTACTGATTTGTGTATGTTAATTTTGTAATCTAAGACTTTACTAAATTTATTTATCAATTCTAGGAGTCTTTTGGAGGAGTCTTTAGGATTTTCTAGATATAAGATCATATCATCAGCAAACAGGAATATTTTGACCTCCTCTTTTAGGATTCATATGTCCTTTATTTCTTTCTCCTGCTTGATTGCTCAGGCTAGGACTTCTAGTACTATGTTGGATAGAAGTGGTGACAGTGGGCATCCTTGTCTTGTTCCAGTTCTGAGGGGGAATGCTTTAAAATTTTCCTGATTCAGTATGATGTTGGCTGTGAGTTTGTCATATGTGCCTAGTTTGTTGTGTGTTTGTTGAGGATTTTTATCATAAGGGTGCTGGATTTTATCAAATTCTTTTTCTGCATCTACTGAGATGATCATATGGTTTTTGTTTTAAATTCTGTTTATATGGGGAATAATTTATTGATCTGCATATGTTGAACCATCCTTGCATCCCTGTGATGAAACCCACTTGATGATAGTGAATTACCTCTTTGATGTGTCATTGGATTTGATTTGCTAGTATTTTTGTTGAGAATTTTTGCATCTATGTTCATGAGGGATATTGGTCTATAGTTTTCTTTTTTTGTTGTTGTATTCTTTCTTGGTTTTGATATCAAGGAGATACTGACTTTGTAGAATGAGTTAGGGAGGATTCCCTTCTTCTGGATGTTATGGAACAGTTTCACTAGGATAGGTGCCAGTCCTTCTTGGTACATCTGTAGAATTCAGTTATGAATCTATCTGGTCTTAGGCATTTTTTTATTGGGAGATTTTTTTTTTTTTACTTTTTCAATCTCATTACTCATTATTGATCTGTTCAGGATTTCTATTTCTTCCTGATTCAAGCTTGGGAGATTATTTGTTCCCAAAAGTGTGTCCACTTCCTCTAGATTTTCTAATTTGTGTGTATAGAGGTTTTCAAAGTAGTCTCAAATGATATTTTGTATTTCTGTGGTATCAGTTGTAATGCCTCCTTTTTCGTTTCTGATTGAACTTGTTTGAATCCTTTCTTTTCTATTCCTCATTAATCTAGCTAGTGGTCTAATGATTTTGCTTATCTTTTTTTAAAATTTATTTTATTTTTTTTATTTCAGCATATTAAGGGGGTACAGATTTTAAGGTTTCAATAAATGCCCTTTCCCCCTTACTTATCTTTTCAAAGAACCAACTTTTTGTTTCATTTGTCCTTTGTATTTTTTTGTTCAATTTTGTCTAGTTCTGCTCTGATCTCTGCTATTTCTTTTCTTTGGCTAGCTTTGGATTTGGTTTGTTCATTTTCTAGTTCCTTAATGTGTGACCTTAGGTTGTTAATCTGTGATCTTTCTGTGTTTTTGATATAGGAATTCAATGCTATGAACTTCCCTCTTAGCACTGCTTTTTCTGTATCTCAGAGATTTTGGCAGCTTGCATCACTTTTATCATTGTATTTGAAATGTTTTTTGATTTCCATCTTGATTTCATCATTGACCCAAGGATCATTTAGCAGCAGGTTGTTTAATTTCCATGTATTTGTGTAGTTTTATGTCTAGTTTTATTCCACTGTGGTCTGAGAAGGTACATGGCATGATTTCAATTTTTAAGAATTTGTTTTGTGGCCTAACATATGATCTATCTTGGAAAATGTTCCATGTACTGATGAGAAGAATGTATATTCTGCAGTTTTTGGGTAGTGTGTTCTGTAAATGTCTGTTTACTGATCTGTTTTCTTTCACTATATGTCAGTTTGCATTTTCTAGAATTTATCATAAATGAAATCATACTTTTTTTCAGCTTCTTTTACTCAACATACATACTTTGAGATGAACCCATGTTGTTGTGTATTCCAATATTTCATTCGTTTGTTGAGAAGTAGTCTATAGTAAGAACATGCTACAATTTGTTTGTCTGTTGTACTGTTGCTGGACATTTGGGTTGTTTCCAGTTTTTGGCTATTAGAAATACAGCTGTTATGAAAATTTGTGCACAAAGCATTGAAGAAGTATACCCTCCAGCTAGATTGAATGATTGTTAATAGTTTTCTACTTTTGCTGTAAAAGATAAAGTAACATTTAAAGTGGATCTTTCACTGTTCATCTTCATAATTTTGTTAAGAATAGATATCCTAATTCCTTCTCAGTTATGTTGTGAGAATCAAATGAGGTCACTGATATAAAAGTACTTGTTAAATTATAAATCAACCTTTATGGAAATGAGCTGGAGGAAAGACACTACCAGGAGATTGATAGGGTTTTAGGTCTTCTATGGGTATCTGGCCCCACAAGAAAGCAATTCCTTTCATAATAAGTTTACTTTATAATATCCTGAGCATTGTTATTAATGATTAAAAGTTTGCATATCATTTATTGTATTCAGGGGTCAACATATTTTCTGATGGACTAAGTTTTCATGTCATAATAAAAACCATTTGGAAAAATGTGATCAAACTTACTTTATAAGCATCTTTGGCAAAAATATTAATAATAATAAATCTTAATGGAGATAAACATTTGGGAAAGGATCAGCTTCAAGACATATATATTTAAAATTTTAACCTTGCAATATTTCATCACCTAATATTTTGTTTTTCTTCTGAAATAGATTTTTTTTAAACTAGATTTTTATTTATTGAAGAGTGGGGATAATGAGCATTTGAATATTCACCAAGAGAACTGTGCCTAGTATTTCTTTCAGCTTTAAATTAGAAATTTGTTCTTCAACTGCAGTGGTTTATTCAGAAGGCCTTGCCACCTATGCAAAATATTTTCCTATCAACATTTATTTTTCTCTAATCCATCTGATTTCACATGGAATACTTCAGAGCAACATCTTTAAATAAAGAAAAATGAGTCTGCTTTGGTAAATATTAAGGGTTTCATCTCTTGTAATGTTCACTTTTCAGTATTTTCTTTCTCTGGAATTACACAACTCCAAGCTTTGGAAGAAACAAACGGGGAGAGTTCCCCAAAAAACTATTCTTTCTGAATCTGTGAAGCCCTTGTTCTGTGTGCCTTCTTGCCTTAAGACAATAGACTGTGAAGGAACCAGGAGGACTTCTGGTGAGACCTACTCTCCCTGATTTACAAACCCCTCTCATAGTGTGGAATCTCATTCAGCTCATACCAGGGCTGATATTTACCCTGTGGCATGTTAAAAAAAATACTGTAGTATGACCCTATCTGAAGACAAATGTAAAAATTTTTGCTCAAAATTATGAACTCACATTAGCATTGGGATACTACTGTATAAAGGCCTGCTTGGGCCAAAGCCACAGGAACATTATCAAGCTCTGCTTTAGTGTGACACTCTTTTATGGTTTTATTTCTTTTATTTAAAGTTTTAATTTAATAATATTTGAATGGTAATGCATTACCATGGCTCAGATGTCAATATAAAAGGTATATTTTGGGGAGTCTTGCTTCCATTCTTGCTTCTGTACACCCCATTTTCAGCTCCCCTACCCCTATAGGGACCATTTTTTATTAGGTTTACCTGTCTTGCTTTAGGCAGCATGATTTCTTTAAATGGTGATGATATTTAACTTTTGATAGGAAACCAGGCAATCAGACACCAAGGCAATTAATTGCTACTTTTTTTGATCTGTCTCTACTGAGGTATTTTTCTAAGAGATTCATTAATAACAACATTGCCAAGTTCAGCAGATGAGCTCTCTGCTGAGAGCAGTATTTCTGATTCCTGTAAGGAGGAAGGAATATAGCTTCTGTGCTACCCCTTAAAAATCACCTAGAGTTATGTTCTAATTAGACAATTCTTTTATCTGGAATGTATTTAGTTTCCAGGATTTGGCAGAACCAAACAATTGGGGAAAAGGGACCTTATAATCCTCATGACATTGCTTTTAAGAACAGGATAGGGAGAAAGTAATTTATTTATTTTTTTTTCTTTCTTTTTTTTTTTTTAATATAAGCAGGAATACAGAAGGGAGAAAGTAATTTAAAAATTGGGAAAGTTTGATTCTCTTACTTACCTAAATCCTAACACATGGATCTTTTTGAACCCTGGAAGTTTCTTGAATATCTTTTGCATCTGCAAAGAGAAAGAAATTTATGAAATACTCTTTGGTTCTACTGGGTCAGATCTTACCCAGCTGAAAAAGCCTAAACAATTTTGATGAGTTAGGGGGAAAAACTGCAAGTGGAAAATTGAAACAATGAATGAGGTCAAAATCTTTGTTTTCAGTTGTTTCTGAAAACCACGGGAAAGTATTTTGCTATTTATTTAAAAGCTGCAATTGTGTAGTTCTGACCTGCTTTGATGGTTACATAAAATATGAAATAACTTTAAGGTGGCATTTGTAGGAACATTTTTTAGCTATAGGATTTTCACTTATACACACAGAAAATAATATTTTCTGACCATAACTAACTATAGGTGACTATAATATTTTAACCACAATATTTTATGAATTATATGATTCAGAAAATATAATGTTAAAGGAATTATTAAATTCAAATGGCTGCTGCACCTAAATAAAATGGTAATCTAATGATTAGAATTGTTCTTAGATTCATGTGGGCTTCACAATAAATCTTAATTAATTTGACCTTGCTACTGAGGCCTGTTATCAGAATACTTCACAATTGCTATACCCAACAACTTTCCAGCCCACCACGGCCTGGCTTCTGCCCCTGGTTCTCTCCAAGCCACTGTCTCTTCAAATCCAGCAGCATTTTCCATTCCTCCTCCACAGTGTCTGCTCTTTCCTGGTTCTTCTTCCACCCCTCTGACCACTCTCTCAGTCTTCTTTGCTCCACCTGATTCCTGTCTCCACTGTATACTTTAAACATTAGGAGCCTGCAGGCTCCCATCCTCAGCTTCCTCGCCTCACCCACTCCCATTTATTTCCTGAGCTTCACTGTGGGCACTGTGGGAGACCCTTGAGACATTGTCACATAGACCTATACTGCCCCATCCAGCTTTCCTTTTAGAAGGCTGGGAGGAGACAAGAGAGACTAAGAAGAAAGGATGGTGGTTTGGTGGTGAAGCTTGGGAGGGAGAGCAGGGTGAAGGGGTGAGGCTGAACAGGTGAGCAGACACCCACCTCTGTCCTCTCTTCCTTGTCCCCTCTGCCCTCTCCCTCTTGCTGGGGGAATCTCATTTTTTTTCTATGCTTCAATAATCACCTAACTCACAGCTTTCAGTTCTTCACAGGGATACCTCAACATTTGCCACTAACTAAATCTGCCCCGACAAGAGTCACTCTTTTCCTCTCAAATCTGCCTTTTCCCCCAGGCTGTCTACCTCAGTCAGGGTGATGAGCACCGATCATCTTCCATCCCCCAAAGCCCAGCTTCCCTAGATACCTTCTCTTCCTAGATGCCTAGATGCCTCTCACATGCAGCCACCAATCTCCATTGGTTTGAATTCCACAACGTCTTTGTTTCCATCATGTCTTTCTTATTCTCAGGGCTGGCACACCCTCCCTGTCTCTCTTCCTGCACAGCTGAAATGAGTTTATGTGTGTGTGGTGCAGGAGGGAAGAAGAAATGGTTTTCTGGGTGTGTTCGGAGTGGGGAAGGGAGGAGGTATCTCCTTGACTATAATTTTTTTCTAAGTTAATCATTCTATACCTGTTGCTCTTTGCTAAAAATCCCTTGCTGGGCTGTGTTGCCTACTGACTAAGGTCCAATTCTTTAGAGTGACATTTAAGACCTGCCCAAATCTGCACAGTTGCCCTCCCCCATCCCCTTGCAGGTACCTTATCATTGCATTTACACTTCCTTGTCATCATTCTCCCCTTGGCTAATATCATGTCCTCTATTGACACCAAACTGTCCCCTGTCCCTCCCCACATACAACATGCACTTCTCTTTCTCCAGGATCCCATGAATTATTTTCCCTTGGTCCAAGATGCAATTGCTAATTGACTGCTTCTCCCCATGCCCATTTTCAAAGCCAGCTCAAACACCTCTATTGAAAAGCATTTGTAGGGACCCAAAGTCAATTATTTCAATGATTTCTTCTCTCTACTATTCTAGAAATTATTACGGTATGCACCATAAAGATCTGTGAAGTACATGTCAGTTTCCCTCACTGAGATTATGCTCCTTGGCCTCAGGGGCCAGGTATTGTTTATTCATCTTTATCTCCCTCCCACTTCCCAGGTATCTAGTAGATTGTCATTCACATGGTAGGGACTCCGCAAATTGTGCTTGATTGAGTTGAGTGCATCTCTTTATTCTCTAAACGTATCAACATGCCACTGTGTTGTCACTGTATCTAAAGTGACTGCCAGTTCTGCATTACCATGCCAAGGACTAGAGCAGTGATGCACAGATAATCCCCAAATCACTTATACTGGGCTTGGGAGTGAATTTTTTTTTTTCCCCAGCTGACTGAGTTACCTTCTAATTATATTTTCTTGTGCCAATACTAAAACTAGTTTTTGTTCCTTATAGGAACTTCAGTGATGAAGGTGGCTCCGCTTTTGGGTGAAGAGGAGACATTTGGGTAGGCCTGGATTTAAATATCAGCTTTGCTCCTTTCCACTTGTAAGACTCTGAGTTTATTGTTTAATATCTCTGAATTTTGGTCTCCTCAGCCAAAATGGAATAACAATACATAAGATTGTTATAAGATTGCTGTAAGGGATAACTGACAAGTAACAAATGCCTGGCATACAGGTGGGCAGGTAGGTGGTGATATTGTGTATTTACTTGCTTATTCTCCACCTCTCCTACTGGGTTACTAGCTACTGAGGGCCCGGTTTTTTCTTATTTCCCCAGTGACTACACAGCATAGAGCCTGGCAAGGGCTCAATCAAGCTTTCAGATGGTCATTTCTGAAAGACTCACTGGAGGGAAGGACAAGATGAAGGCCTCGTAGAGGAACCTGGGTAGGAAGTTTCCATGCCTCCACACACACCCTGTCATGGGCTCAACAGAGAAGAACTAGGAGGTTGGGTTCTGCAGAGCTGGGCTTTATTCTGCGGGCAGGAAGCAAAGGCTGAGAACATGCTTCAGGTCTGCTCTGACCTCCTGGGACAGGAGGGGCAGCTTTCGGGCCAGGGGGGAATTTGTCATGTCATTCCAGTGACAGTACCAGGAACTGAATGCTTAAATCTGAGCTGCAAATTCTGCAGCAGGAGATTCAGACAGTGAATCATCCCTCTCTCTTGTCCAGGATTCTCAAGGCACTCTTATATGTCTGAAAACAGTCAATCAAGCACAGAGTTGCCTCTGGAGAGCTCCACAGCTTCAGCATCTGCAACAGGGAGCACTGCTGGGGAGAGCCGCTCTCCTCTCCAGGAGTGCTCCATGCACTGGCTGGGGCGGAGGGGAGTTATTGCTGTGTCCATGCCCGCTTTGTGAACCTGTCTGCGATTGATTAAGAATCAGCTTTGCTTAGGAGTGTGTAGAAGGCATCTAGGGAGGAGATGACAAAAGCCTCAGTTAATTTTGCTAAATAATCTTCTAGGGACCTTCCAATCATGGAGCACTAACCACTAAATTGGTAATTAAGTGCTCAGTTAACCTTATTAATAATGCTAAATGCACAGGGGCCTCCCCGATTCTGCTGCAATGTAAGTTAACAGGGCTATAAAAAGGCAGCCCGTGTTGAGTTCTCATGAATGTTTGCACAGGAGAAAGCATTCAGACAACAAGTAAAGTGATTCCTTTTGACATTTGTATTAAATTGCTCATTAAATTGCTCAATAAATTCCACATTTATTGTGGAAATTAAATTACCACTAAGCACTGTCCATTAATTCCTGATTAGTCCCAAATGGTTGTGCTAATGAAGGCCTAGGGCCGTGGTGGGGCTGACTGGTTATCAGAGGGCAGGCTGTGGGTTAGTCTGGCCCTGCTTAGGAGCCTGGGAAGGGACTAGATGCTATAAGCAGAGGGAGGGGCTCCATCTGGGAGAAATCAGTGACTGTGCAAATGGACCCAGCAGGAATGATACAATAGGTCTCTGGAACAAGATTGGGCAAGGCATACTTTTCTTCTGCTAATAAGTTTTGCAGAGTCTAGAAGGGGCATGCCCACTTAATGATGACATGATAGTTCTTTCATCATAAATATATATTTGGGAAAAATAGGAAACATAGCATCATGGTTAAGAAAAGAGTTCTGGTGCCAGGCTGCCTGGATTGGAATCTTGGCTCTGCCAGATAATAGGTAGTTATCTGGGCATATTAATCTTCTTGTGCCTCAGTTTCCTCTTTTAAAAAGGGGGAATAATATTACTTATAGCATTGCATGAAAAATTAAATGAGTTTATATATATATATAAAGCATTAATAACAGTACTAGCTGTTATTTCTGTACACACCATATTAGACTTAGAAAGGGACTGTGAGGTCATCTTCTGTAATTTCTTAGTGAGGAAATTAAGGGCAGGGAAAATTAGTGTGCCCCAAATTCTCACAGCTAGTTTTTGGCAGAAACAGGGCTAGAATTCAAATTAAAAAAAAATCTCAATGCATCTGCATTATTATATGTCAGGTTGTTTTAAGTGCTTAGGAAATTGATAACAGGTCAGTGAAGAGTCAATTATCCTATTTTGAAGATACTTTGACTACACTAAGGATTTGCTGAAAAGAATGTTTCAAGGAAAAAACAGAAAAGTTAACAAACTATTCTTTAATTCATTATATCTAATAATCCATGTCTAAGTACTTCTCTGGTTCGTAAATACCCCATGCTGATTCTTTCTCTTTAAAGTTTGTAGAAAGGATCCTTTACATTTTATTGACTAAATGCTGATGCGAAGAGAGGCTAGAGGTTAAGAATGTCTCACTTACTCACCTCTTCTCCACATGAGAGGAGGTAAGTATTAAATTCACCAAGCATGAGAAGTGGGGCCCCGTTTGTTCCCTGGCTGTGCTGAGTAAGATTCATGTGCACCCAGGCTGTCCATAAATATAGTTCATTCATGGTTCTGTAATCTCATGGATGCTTCGATTTTCAGTTGCATTTATAGTAGTTAACTGCATCTCAAGCTTGTATTAGCAGGTTGAGCTTCAGAGGTGAAAGGATCAGTTTCTGCTCTCAAGGGGAAGCTCACAGCCTGGTGGTGGTGAGGGTGGCAGGTGAAGAGAAAGGAAAAGAGATGGCAAAGGCCATAGACAGGCGAGCAAACGATCTCAGGACAGGCTGATTAGTGTTGTGCCAGCAGTGGACACCAAGTATGAGCAAGCCCAGGAGAGAGGAACTGAACCCAGAATGGGTAGAAGGAATTTTTCATGATCAGGTACCTAAAATGAGACTTGGGGAAGGGCATTCTAGAGAGAAAAGGCAGCACATGTAGAGGGTAAATGCGGGGAAAATTTACAAAGAGTTTGTATTTCTGAAAACTAGAGTGCAAGGGAAGGGAATGATAGGGAACTAGAATAAAATGAGGCTGGAAAGGAAGGCAGAGATCTTATCATGGTATATAGATGCCAGGCTCAGCGTAGCAGTTGGGTTTATTTAATATCTTTCAGGGACTTAAACAGCATTTGAATTTGATCAAGGGCAGACATATTATCATGGTGAGATGGAAGAGACATCATGGAAAGACTGCTCAGTTTAGTAATTGATAACATGGATAATAAAATTGACTTCCACTTATCACTTAGAAAAAATATCATGTCTTTTAATTGCATCATACTGCAAAAATGGAAATATTATGTAAAGAAAAAATATTATGAAATAAAATTAATATTTGAACCCAGTAGGTTCTTTACTTAGTGCCTATGTGGTCATTTTATTTTATTTTAATTCTTTGTTGAAGTATGATTGAGATATAAAAAGCTGTACATATTTAATATGTACATCTTGATGAATTTGTCTATAAATATATACCCATGTAAACTATCACCATAATGGTCATTTAGACATATAGAATATCTGCACAGCAGCTTTCAGTTGAATGAGATTTAAAAACCTACTAACATTTAAAGAAAATCTAAATGCAAATGCAAATCTCCTTATCTTCAGGAGATACGTTCTAAGACTCCCAGTGGATGCCCAAAACCTCGGATAGTACCTAACCTTATATATATTATGTTTTTGCCTATACATGCATACCTATGATAAAGTATAATTTATAAATTAGGTACAGTAATATATTAATAACAATAACCAATAATAAAATAGAAGAATTATGACAATATACTGTAATAAATGTTATGTGAATGTGGTCTCTCTCTTTCAAAATATTTTATTGGACTGTGCTCACCTTTCTTCTTGTGATGGTGTGAGATGATACAATGCCTATGTGATGAGATGAAGTGAGGCAAATGATGTAGGCATTGTGACGTAGTGTTAGGGCATTCTTGACCTGATGATGTTACGTTAAGCTCATAAATTATCTATTTCTGGAATTTCTCATTTAATATTTTGGACCAGGGTTGACCATGAGTACCTGAAGCTGTGGAAAGCAAAATTGTGAATGAGGAGGGACTACCGTAAGAACGGAGAAGCTGGAATGAAAAGCTTCCCTGGAGATCCTTTCGTCCTAAGATTTTGAGACCCACTGTAGTTACTGTTTTCTTTTCAATGGTTAGAAATAAATGCCTGGTCACAAGAAGTTGGAACTGTTAGCCAGAAGTATTTATGTCCCGTTGGCTCCCAGATTCTCAGTCGTGACTTAACTGTGGTTGTGCGGGCAGGATCCACTCACCTGAAGTTGGGACTTCACTGCTAGCTCCTGGTAATATGGGGACTGGGAGTCAGCAAGCTCTGCCTTGAACCTCTGGTTTACCAGGGAGACACTCAGCTCCACTTTCTGATCTGGAGGGCCCTTGGGCACGGTGAGTTCTGTTTCTCTTTCCTGAGTAAAAAAAAGGACTTGCATTTATACAAACCACAAACAAATGGCTATATTCTATAACAAATATTGATATTGTCTCAAGAAGTGAATTATGAAGGCTCAAGTGCTTTTTGAATAAAAGTTTATTAATTAGAAGTGGCCTCTGAATTTCAGTGAGAGACAAAGTATCAAAGCTCCAACGAACTATTTAGAGTCCTTAAGAACACTGCTATTTTATGACTATGATCTTCGTGAAGGCATTTACTTACATGCACACACATACATTGCCTACATACACACACACATTTTACATATATATTGCTGGTGCATCACTAGGATTGTTCCACATCATTCTGTTACCTTATAAAAAGTCTTTGGTGAGGATTGGATTAGACAAATTACCTACAGATGCTGAGATATTATTTAATATTAAATATTATTTAATATTTAATTATTTAAATTAAATATTAATTCATTTAATTTAAATAATTATAATATTTATTAATAATTTAATTTAAATAATCAAATATAAATATATTTATATTTAATTATTTAATATGCTCTTTTTTTAGAGAAGAGTCTAGATTAGTTTAATGAGAACATTTGTACTTAAACTTACTGAAACTAGTTGGAAAGTACTATCAAGCCAAGAGAGGGTTTGAAATTTCTCTCAGAGGGAGAGGCACAACCTTTGGATGCATGTGGTTAAGAACAGAAGCACTGTTATCATACTCCAGATTTAGACTCCAACACAAAGGGCCAGGGGTCATCCTTCTTGCCTCTTGGCCTGGGACCAGCAGGGGCCTCTCCCTGCTCTGAATTCACATAGGCTGCCAGGGCCCAGAGCAAGCCTGGAGCTGGGTTTCAAACTTGGGTTTGACAAATTTTCAGCATTGGGTACCCATATAATACTGAGATCTGCACAGCTTTTGCCCAAAAGAAAGAAATATGTCTGTGGAAAATTGAATGTCTCTGGTTATATACATAGCCTCTTATAGTGAAATGAGAGTTAAGGAAGCTGAAAGAAGAGAACAACCAAATGGAAACTGCCATGAAGGACAGAGCTCAACTGAATGGTAGAAGATGTATTTTCTCGTTTTTTTCTTCTCTCTCTTTTTCTTCTTCTTCTCTCTTTCTTCTTCTTCTTTCTTCTCTCTTCTTTTCTCTCTCTTCTTTTCTCCTTTTTTCTTTCTTTCGAAAGTAAATTAATTTATTTAGTACTTTTTCCATTCCATATCATCGGGAAGTTGATTTCAACTTTTCTTTTACCTACAACAGACCAGTTGGTACTCAAAACTGTACCACCAGACTCCATAAATGATTTGTTAATGGCATGTTTAGATCTGTTGAAACAATTTGTTTAAAGCTGCATCTCCCTCCAACTTCTCATTCTTTTCTTCTTCTTTGATCTCGCCAACCAATTTATCCCAATTTCTTGTTTAATGAGATGATGATGAGAATAGATTCTTTACATCTGCTATGAACTGTTTTGGTTTAGACACATCTACTTGCCCCCTCTTCTGTTGCCCATTTCACAGCCTCTGGCTTTTTCATTTTAATTTCAATCTTTGTTGAAAGTACTTTAAATGTGCTCTGTTCTGGTATTACAGGATAAAGAAGTCTCAGTTTCATATTGTAATCCTCTCCAGATGGAAGTTTCACCAAAGCAGACAGCCCTTTTTCTGAAAATTCCACATTTACATCATTCTTCTGAACATTCTTGATCATAAGTGTCATGATGACTTGAGATTCTGTTTGATATCAGTCATACTTGATTTTTGACTGATGAGTCTGCTGGGGTGTAGACACCTCAGATTCTGATCCATTCTGAGCTTCTTGACACCTTTTAATCCAGACACTGAAATCAGCATCTGCACTCTCTAATTTTTGTTCTTCTGTAAAAGTTTCCAGAGCAATAGCAGTAGCCATTTTTTTCATGGTATTCAAATATCCCTTTTCTCAGCATAGTGGTAGAAGTATTTGGATTGAGTTCGAGAATCTTCTTTGCATTAGCAACAGCATCACTGCAGTTCCCAAGAAAAATATGACAATAGGCTCTTTGACAGTAATATTGTGCACCATGAGGTTTCTGTTCCAAAGCCTCAGTCAGCTTCTCTAACGCTGCCTGGGGGTCCTTGACAATCTGAGCATCTGAGAAGCTCTGGAAAAACCTCTGGGCCTGCTGTTCCAGGGCCTGCTGCAGCCTCCATCCCTAATAGTCACAATTAATGCCACTGGAGCTGCTACTACCACGAGTATCAGCTCCACCATCACCCAAGGGGGAAACTTCAACCTCCTCCTTGATTTTGTCACAAACTCACCTCTTTCATGAGTGTGGACAATAGCACAGCCTCCAGCTTTGTAGGACACAGGAGGATGTGGAGTCACATTTAAGAGATTTCTGATGTTCGTTTAAAAGAGCTTCATTTGTTCAAAAAATACACATTGAGTTTCCATATGAGTGTAGCACAGTGCTAGGATCAATGGGCCATTAAAAGAAAAGTATAGCATACGGTATTATTCTCTAGAAGCTTACCAGTTCATTGGGCAGATATGAAGTTCACGTAAGACATTTCAATAAATTCTTTAAACGTGTTAGTGAGAAGTGTCTTAACTTACCCTCAGCCACCAGAATAATTTTTCATGCCTCTCACCCGGCATCTTCAGAGACTCGCTTATTACCTATGGGTTAAAACTCAAACTCTTTTTCCTGATGTTCAAGGTTCTCCACAGTCTGATTCCACCTTGTTTGAACAATTTTAGTCTCAATTTCTCCTCTGGCCTTACTGCCAGACTGCTCTGTTCATGGTTGCTCAGATACCACGTTGCTATGCTGGTCTCTCACTGGAGCTCCTCCTCATTAGACCGCAGTCCCTACCTCCAGCAACACACACACACACACACACACACACACACACACACGTTTTTCTCCTCTTACCATCTAGGATAGAAGAAATCTCTGCCTCCTCTGAAATCCTTCTTGTAGCATTGATTAATATCTGAACCACTCATTTGATGCATATCATATACTCCCCTAGAGTCCTCTTTTTATCTGCAAACCTTGCCACCCCACACATAATCCCCTTGATCCAGCATGATCCTTACTCTTCAATGAACCTCAAAGCAAAAAACATGGGGCCATTTATGCTCCCAAGTCTCAGTAAATACACATGGCTATGGGTGCCATCCCCTGCAACCTGTCCTGGCTTATCATTTCGTCCCAGTCTATACACCTACTATCCTCAGTCATAGCTCTTAGACTATTTTATGATATATAATCATGTTATAAATTCCTTGGAAGCAGGGATTGTGTCTTGTTCATTTTAGGATCTTTGCTTCATAGCCTAATGCCTGGAACATAAGTAGATTTTTGTAATGTTTGCTGAATGAAAGAATCAGTGATCGATGCAGGTGGTAAAAAGGATATTAGGAGGAGGATGCAATGAATGTGAAATGAAATATTAGATGGGACATGGGGGATGTGAGAAAAGAGCGAAGACAGACTAGTTGCCTTAGAAATTTTATAGGGAATATATATTAAATTATGGTCAATAATTGTTTTTTCTAACAGCAATTTTCACTGTGGATGGAGCAGCATTTTTCAGAAAAATACAATATTTTCCTTTTTTGTTCATGTCAATAGTTCAACCAAACCTTCAGCCATTTGGCCTAAAAGGCAGATAGAATGACCAGCAGGGCCTAATCCCTGATTTCTCATGTAGAGCTGGTGATACTACAGTTTGTGCCCTTGCCTAGCAGCTTTGCACAAGTGGTGTCTGAGCAAAAGTGAACAGAGTAGACCATGCTTTGGTGAGAGGTTGAAAGGAATGGGAAAGGACCAGGGGAGCCGTTTCATAGATGCTGGGGATAAGGATGAGAAGAGCCAGGTTCTTGTTCGCCACTCCTTATACTACTGCCCCCTTTGGGGTCTCTAGCACTCATGACTAACGAGAACAGTGGTTGCCTGCTTTGGCAGAGTGATTGGGCTCAAGACTAGTTAGGGAGGTTAAAATTCCCAGACTTTTTTGATAACTAGCATTAAATTCTGTAACAATTCTCTCATCCTGCACACCTTTCACTCAAAAGTGGTGACAAGCGCTCTTCTTGGCCTTAGAACATGATTTATTTTTCCCCAGTTTGACACACAGGATTTTGATCATTTGATATCTGACCTATTCATGCTGTATATGACTGAGAACAAAACCTTCACTCTTGCTGTCAAGCGTGAATGGGATTACACTTCAGTGGGGAAAGACTTTAGTGACTGATTGATGCATTCATTCATTCTAACACTTGGTAAGCATCAACTATAAATAATGTTCTGTGAAGTACTGGGGAGAAAGGGTACTTCCCCTTTCCTGCCCTCCAGAGCTTATAATTAAGTTGTTTCTTGTAATTCCTCTCACCTTATCCTAGTCCTCAATTTATTACATTTTTTTCCCTCTCAGTTGTCAGGAAGAAGTGAGAATAGTGAATAGACCGAAGTCACCGACTGTTAATTAGAGTGATAAAAAATGCAGCACTAATATTGCTGAATGGCCAGGTCATCCATTCTCTTTTTCTGTTTTGCTAAAAGAACAAAAACAGGCATGTAAAGAGCTAGATCGACTCTTGAACTTCTTACTGTTGTGGGCATCTTGGTGCCGTGGAGGGTATCATTGAGAATTTCGTTGAGGACTGTGTCATCAGGAGTGGGAAGGAAGGGCTGAAGTGAGACATCAGCAGCATCTGTGGAAATTAAAAAAAAATTACAGACACAAAAATGAGACTGAAGGAGTTTAAATTAGAACAAGGGCAAAACCCCATACACTTTTTCTGTCACTCTGGAACTTACAGATGTTAGGTGCATTCTGAACTCGCATTTTTAGATCATATAAATATGTCCTTGAAAACATATGACTCATACTCTTTTTTTAATCTCAGTTAAATTCTTCATTCTTCCTCTTTAGGACCCAAGGTTGATGCTACCCTAGATGTGTTACAGTTAAATGCTTTTGCCTGATGAGATATGATTAATTTTTCTTTTTGAGACTATATAAAGGATGCGTAGACATTTACCTTGAATTTGTTCTTGAGAGTTTTCTTAGGATACTACACAAGTCTTTAAGATTTAGATTTCTTTAGCAATCATCGAGGCATAGGATTTTAATAAGAAATTCCTAGAGATGAAAGGTCTTGGAATTAAGATGCCATCAATTTCACTCCACCATAAACCATTTCAGATATGTGGCAAATGTTTCAATATATTTAAAGATCTCCATAGAATGGAAGTCTAAGTTTTATTCAAGTAAAAAAAAAAAAAAAAAGAGGCATCATTGTAATACAAATGCATTTCTATTTATAAATAATTATTTTAAAAATGCTCAGAGAAAATAGTGTTATAATTAATTGGTTTATATTTAGCCAGAAATACCTTTCCATTTCAATCTTACTTAGGCAAACACATAGAATGTATTACTTTATTTTTGTGTTTTAGGAAACAGGATATATCAAAAAATGAACTGATCTTTTCTTGCCCCCTGAAGAGTAAGTGCTATCTGGGAATCAGCAGTCACAAGGGGTCACTTGCAACTGTGAGGCCCTGTGAAGTCATTGTGCTGGGTATAGAATTGTGGTTCTTAGTGTGGGAGGTGTGAGGGTGGGTATCAGAATCATTTGGGGAAGGGTTTTTGGGTTTTTTTGGCTAATAAAATACATATGCTGTGGCATATCAGAATCTCAAAGGACATGGTTCTTGTCATCTTTCTCTTCAGCCCTAGTTGAAAAACTCTGCTGTAAGCAACTGGGATGGATGTGTTTCTGTATCCTGAACTTCACCAGACTGTTACCAATTGACAGTGTCTTTAAGCTGTATAATTCCATAAAAATTCTGTTTATACCACATTTTTTTTGTTACAATAAAAAAGATGCTTAGCTAGCATACTAGAAGAACAAACTTTTTGTTGTTATTCGGGTATCCTTCCATTTTATTGCCTTGAAAAGAGAAATTATCCACACTATGAAAACTAAGAACAAATATTAGGTAGCCTGGGTTTTATCTTCTAGCGCATTCAGCCTATTTTGGAGATATCTCACTCTTCACACCTAACACACCTGTTAACATTTCCCTATCAGAATCTAGTCTTAGGAAACTTTACTATAACTGAAAAATTCAGTTACAATGAGTGTCTGACCCTACTTAATGTTCTCCTCTCCCGGGGAGTATTGCATTTACATTTTAAGGCTTCAGGTTAAAGATAAGGAAAATTTAATTTTTGAATTGCAAACGCATATATCCAAATTCCTCTACACTTGGAAGTTTTATCAATAATGATGATGGAGGAGGCTAGGTGGAGAGTGGAAGTTGGGAGAGGACAGAGTTTTCTTTTGAGTAAAATTTTCAAAGTGTCCCCAAATTCACACTATTAAGAAGATTTTCTACCCTCTTTCTGCATTCCATCATCACTGATGCTGTCTCTGAGAAGTATGATGAGAATTGCTTTCATTGCAGTTAGGATCTGGCAGTTTTTTTTTGTAGCTGCATTTTGGAAATAATCTCAATGGTAGAAGAACCTGTGTGTGAACCTCAACCTTAGGTGTCCAGGAGCACTGGGGAAATGATGCCAAAACATTTTGTTGCTGGAACTCAAATATATAGTGATGATATATCATGTTGCATATATATCATTTGTCTACCATTCTCTCAGAGTTTTTTGAAAACAAAAAATAATTTATAATAAAGAGTTCATTTTAACTTACTGTTTAGTTTATCTTACTAAATTTAATCTTAATGTTTAAATTTATGTTAAAATTATATCTTAATATTTAAATTAATGTCTAAATTTAATCTTTAATGTTTTACACGATTACTTCTTTTCAGCGAAAACCTTTCAGCTAAAATATATTGACTTCATAGTTTAAAAAATAGAAATACAAATTTCAATTCTCATATTAATTTTGGTTATTTTTCAACATTAAAAATGAAGTCAGTGCAAAACATCTTTTTATATTATTTCTCTTGTAAATAATACTTTTTTGAATAAGACGTAATTAAGTGTTGCAGGTCAAATTTGAGCTGTTTATAAGGGAATTAACAAATATATAGCTGTTCTTTTTATTGTTAAAAATGTGTTTTACTTTTAATGTTTTTATAATTGAAATTGACCTAGGCTTGTATTATTAGCTACAAGTTGGTCTAGAAGTGGTAAATAGCGGAATTTATGAAAGATACTAAAATATAGTCACAGCTTTCTGAAATACTGAAATACAGCTTTCTCTGCATGTCAGTAAATAAAGAAATGGGAAAACAATATTATCACTTGTTTAAAAAAAATCTCTATTTTTCTAAATTTCTAGATTTTAAGTTATCAAAATTTGATTTCTTAAAACATTATTAACATAACTAAAAATCAAATACACTAAGGTAAACATTGCTTAGAGGACAGTTTTATGTTGTACGTTTAAAAGTATTAAATTATATGGGAAAATGGAAAAACTAATAGAAAAACATATGAAAGAGAAATTTCAAACATTTAATAAAAATAGGAAAAATTATTTTCCCTTTCGTTTTGGCAAACATTAAAACAAACAGTAATATTTAGCATTGGAAAGTGTGCAATAAGATATACCCTTTTAACCAGTGTGTTATTTAAATCATAACAAAATTCTGGAAAACAAATTTGGCAAAATCTATCAAAAACCTTAAGATTCATAGTCTTTGATTTTGTAGTCTATCTTGAGAAATCAGTATATGACAAAGATTTATGTTTAAATATGTTAATTAAAGCATTATTTGTGTCTGGGTATAGTGGTCCACACCTGTAATCCCAGCACTTTGAGAAGCTGAGGCAGGAGGATTGCTTGAGACCAGAATTCAAGACCATCCTGAGCAAAGCAGTGAGACCTCGTCTCTACAAAAATAAAAAAAATTAGTCAAGCATGGTGGCACATGCCTGTAGTACTAGCTACTCAAGAGGCTGAGACAACAGGATCACTTGAGTCCAGGAGTTGGAAGCTGCAGTGAGCTATGATCATGCTTCTGCACTCCAGCTTGTCTCAAAAAAAACCCCACCATTATATGTAATAGCTTATAAACACAGCAATGATGAAATGGTTTTATTGATTACATTTGTATGGATACAATAGAATGTTGGAAGTTATCAAAATGATTACTGAAGTTTTAGTGGAACTAATGTTCTTTTTATTTTTTTTTTTGAGACAGAGTCTCACTTTGTTGCCCAGGCTAGAGTGAGTGCCGTGGCGTCAGCCTAGCTCACAGCAACCTCAAACTCCTGGGCTCAAACAATCCTTCTGCCTCAGCCTCCTGAGTAGCTGAACATGTGCCACCTTGCCCAGCTAATTTTTTCTATATATTTTTAGTTGGCCAATTAATTTCTTTATATTTTTAGTAGAGATGGGGTCTCGTTCTTGCTCAGGCTGATTTTGAACTCCTGACCTTGAGTAATCCGCCTGCCTCCGCCTCCTAGCGTGCTAGGATTCAAGGTGTGAGCCACAGCAACCGGCCAGAACTAATGTTCTTTACATCATGTTGAGTGAAAAAAAATGATACTAACTTTTAAGTATGGTCTCAGTAATACCTATACATAATAGGAGAAAGATGGCAGAAAATAGACAAAAATAATGATCATTGCCTCTAAATTGTAGATAATAGATGATTTGGTTTTACCTTTCTTCTTTTCTATATTTTCTAAGTTTTAAACAATAAAATTTAAATTATTTTTTAAGTTTAGGAATATGAGTTAGTTTGAGAAAGTACATTATAAACTTTGTTAATTTCAATTAAGGATTGCTTTGTAAATAACATGGTTTCATGATGATTTAAAGTTTGGAAGCAGATGAAATGAGATCCAAGCTTACCTGTCGAAAACACAGGGGTTTCACCAGGCTCTCCCAATGTCTCTTCCGTAGATATTTCATCTTTTCTATTATCACGATAGAAAAGAAAACAGAGATGGTGACAAGGAACTTGATGACAATAGGGGACATACATTTAAATTTGCCTATACTGAATAGACCTAAAAATTAGAGAAAAAGTACAGTTTAAAACTGGGTTTATCTAAGTTTCCTTTTATTACAGAAGTAATATTTGAATGTATTCTCATTGAAGAGAATTTAAACAACCTCCTAAAACAGCTATGTTTGACTCCAGGCTTTTCCAATAAGTTGTGCGTGGTCCTGAGGAGCATTTCCATAATAGGCAATGCTGATCTTTAAGGCTTGATGTTTTACAGTCCCATTGTGCTTGCTCCGTGTTCTTGAGAATTGACACTATGCTCTGTGGCTGAAATATTCTTCCTAAAATCCCAGACCCTCGAGCCTGCATATCCAGAGTCATTAAGCCTATCTAGTAATGCAACCCCTGTGGTTACAGTAATGGGAGAGCAGTTGCTTTATAGGTAATGCAGGTGTATTAAATCTGTATTCTGGACACAACCATTGTCTACAATGGTAACTAGCCAGGAAATTGGGGATAGGATTGCAGTGCCATGAGATGGCAGTGTGGAAGATGTTCTAGGGGCGGATCCAAAGTTATGGTGGTAAAGCTGTCTGCATATAATGTTGGCTCATCTTTTAGAAAGCATTATTTAGAAAGGAGTACTGATAGTGATATTTTTTTGAAGCTCACTGAAAGATCTGTTGTTGTTGGCTATTAGGTTCCACAGGATTGTGTCTGTGTTAGTATAATGTAACTTGACCAATATATTGGATCTAATTATCTGTGGCTCATGATGGTGGTAACATCAAAGGGAACGGTTAGATGTTCTGTTGTTTCAGAGTCATCTAGATTGGACATAGCCAATAGTACCACCTACATATTTCTGCTACGCCCAATTCTGTCAAAGTGCTAATAAGTGTAATGTACAAAATATTATCAATCAGCCAGGCACAGGCTCTGACCAGTTGGAATGGATGTCATTTGTAAACATGGATAACTACAGTGGTCCACACGGGCCAAATATAAACTCAGACTTCATAGTGGAATTTGGAACCAGCTATTCTTGTTATTTTTTTCTGATATTATACCATATACTTAATAAGTAGTTTTTAATGGATATTACATTTAATAAACTCTCATATCAAACATTATAGTGTTTACAAATTAGACAATTTTTAAAATTTTATCGATCTTTGTTTATATCAATAGTAAGATCTCTGGGAGGAGGAAAGAGAAGATGGGTATGTTCACACCTAATGGGTGTGCAGTGCACACCATCTGGAGGATGGACACCCTTGAAGCTCTGACTTTGGTGGGCCAAAGGCAATATATGTAACCTAAACATTTGTACCCCCACAATATACTGAAATAAAAAATTTAAAACAATAGTAAGATCTGCCTTCCTTCTAATTGTCTCCTTGTTTTGTCTTGCTGTAAAAAAGAAAATAGCCAAGAAGAGTAGTTAGTAAAATGCTGGCTATTGTATTAGTTACATGTTAACAGCTCATTTGTGCAAGACTCTGTGTGGGATGTTGTTTCCTTATCCTTTGCTAAAAGGTGTGATTTTATCACTAAACTGCCAATCTATCCTATCACTGAGAAGCTGTAAATTGGGGACCTGGGCCACTCAGTTCTTCCAGTAGCCTTTATTTCAAAGTCATTTGAAATTGGCAGATTCATGGGCTAGTCAGGTGAGAAAATGTTCTGTTTTGTCTTCTTGGAAAGGTTCAAAATAAAAGAGAATTTCTTTCCTTTTCTTTCTTTAAACAACTTGGTAACCATAGTTAATGCAAAATGTTTTTTTCATGCTCCTTCTTTCTCTCCAGCAATGCTGGCAGGCACAGGAGTGGATGGAATGATTTTCTTTCTTTCTCTGTCTGGCGTGGATAATTGTGTCTTATAGTTAATGTTTCTCTATCAAGATCTGGTACATTCTTTTGATTTTTTTTCTTATGGATGGACTCTGCTTTTCTTTCTTTCTTTCTTTCTTTCTTTCTTTCTTTCTTTCTTTCTTTCTTTCTTTCTCAAATGGAAGAGTCAATAAAGTATCATCCTATATTTAAAACAGAGGAGCCAACATGTCTGTGTCTTGTGAACAAAGGTAATACTCTAGTACTAAGATTTTCCTAAGTTAAATTATGTCTCCTGGAAATAACTTTTTAGAATTCTTAAAATAGTGGCTTGATAGGCATAATTGATTAACAAAATAGGACTTTGCTCAGTTTTGTGTAGTAGGTGGAAAGGTATGAAACAGTTCCTGCTCTTGAGGAGTTTACACTCTCACAGGGAAATAGGGGAAAGCAAGGAAATGTTAAATAGAAATGTAAGTGCCAAATTGAGTGCAAGGTTCAAAGCAGGGAGAATTACTGCAGGCTCATACAGGCTTTTTTTTTTTTTTTTTGAGACAGAGTCTCACTCTGTTGCCCGGGCTAGAATACCGTGGCATCAGCCTAGCTCACAGTAACCTCAAACTCCTGGACTCAAGCGATCCTCTGCCTCAGCCTACCAAGTAGCTGGGACTACAGGCATGTGCCACCATACCTGGCTAATTTTTTCTATACATTTTTAGTTGGCCAATTAATTTCTATTTTTAGCAGAGATGGGGTCCTGTTCTTGCTAAGGCTGGTTTTGAACTCCTGATCTTGAGCGATCCTCCCACCTAGGCCTCCCAGAGTGGTAGGAGTACGGGCGTGAGCCACTGCACCTGGCCTCTCAAATAGGCTTTTTAAAAAATTTTAGTGTATTAAGAGGGTACAAGTGTTAAGGTTACATATATTGCCCATGCCCCTCTCCCCCATCGAATCAGAACTTTAAGCGTCTCCATCCCCCAAAGTTGCACGTCTTACTCGTTGTGTTTGTGTATTCCCATCCCCTCCTCACCCCTCCCACCTGCCCGACACCTGATAAATGTTATTCCTATATGTCCACTTAGGTGTTGATCTGTTAATACCAAAACAATATGGGGAGGTGGGACTCCACCTGGAGCTTGAACAGGATTAGGACTTGAATAGGTGGGATGGACGAGGCAGGTTCTTCCAGGCAAGAGGGAAAGGCTTGGGGTCCGAGTCTGGGATGAGTAGGGTGCAGTCTGTGCTCACTGGCATGGTGGCAGTAATTGGATTATGGGTAATGGAAAGCCAAGGTGGAAAGGTCAGGGGATGACAGGTCTTCATTAATTAGTTTGGCATCTACCTCAGTAGAGGTCCTAGCAGAAAACAAATAACTCACTCATAGTGAGGCAATTTGGACAAAGTTTAATGAAAAGATTATTTACTAAGTTGTGGGAAGAGTGTAAGTGTAACCACAAGGGAGAGCGCGGCCCAGGGCAAGTAACAGTGGGGTGCTAAACCTACCCCTAGGCCAGGAGGGTGGGAGGATACCAGGAGCCAGAGACAGAGAAGGCTCTGGAAAGAGCTGCCTAACAGGAGCTGGGATGAAGTTGAAGAAGGCCATGAGAAAGCTCAAAGACTCTGCAGGTGTGTGTGTGTGTGTGTGTGTGTAAAACTCTTCGCCCTCATCTCCTCTTTCCCTCTGATTTCTTCCTCCTCACTGGCTGGCCCTAATCAGAAGCCAGAGGGCAAAGGATGCTAGTGATGCAGCCTCCTGAACACAGAGGTGAGCTGGAGAAGGGTGGGGAGTGGACATTCACAAGGGCAAGATATAGGAATATTTTGAAAGTCATTGAACAGGGCTCAATGTAACAAAAAGAATATTTCAGACTTATCAATCTGGCAGCAGTTATGCAAATTAAGGAGAAGAGATTAGAGACAGGGACATCTGTTAGGGAGATCAGATTTGACATTTTGACATTTTTCACAGAGTTAATTAATAAGTTAATTAATAAGGTCCAGGTTGGTGGCAAAGGGAGTAGACACAAAGGAACAAATGTGAAAGGCATTATAAAGTTTCTCCAGTAACTGATATGGCCACATTTGTGTCTCTCTTTGTAGTTTTATCTTCAGATTTAGATTTCTAAATGTTATAAAACGTATGGATTTTGTGAGTTTAGAGTTTGGCAACAACATCTCTCTTCTTTAATCATTTTATCTAATGCATTTTCCTATCTTTTTTTTCTTTTCCTTTTTTTTTTTTGCGTTGTGATTTTCTTATTTGATATTCAATTCTTGAAGATATAGCTCAGTGCTTTAGTACTTTAGTTTGAGAAATGCTAATACTTTACAGAATATCAAATGAGAATTCAAAATTCAGATTGCTCTCTGAGTGTATTAAATGTTTTCCTGATGTAACTAATAGTTTACCATAAATTCTAAAAATCAAACTGTTTTAATGGCTTCATATCTTAAAAGTGAAGATACACATTAGATACATACCACATAGTGCTGAATTCATTTTATCCGAAAATAATGCAGACATCTATCTCAATCTATAAGGTCTATACATTTTTCTTTTATAGTCCATGTATCTTCAGCACAATATATGCATAAATTGTCTGTCAGAATAACCTACACAGATCTTAGTGGCTGACATAAAATTACAAAGGTACAATAGTTTAATTTCACTCTATTATATGATCTTTCTAAAGTCAAGAGCACGCAGCACTCTATTTTGGATACTTACCTCTCAGGAAAGCTTCTCTGTTTTATTCTCTGCAAAAAGAAAAAAAGGTAATTTTACCAGGAGATAATGCTAACTGAAGAGCTAAAGTCTATTTTCATTCCCTTTTCTCTTCAACTACACTTCAACCTGCCTGTGCAATATTATTTTGCAGGAATAAAATTCCTATTGGCCTTTATCAGATATCTGCAAGGAGTTTTTTGACTAACCCTCGTGCTAGTGGAAACTAATTCAAAAGGGGCAGGGGCAGGGGCTGGAGCCTGGGAGCTCTTTGGTTAGTGTTACAAATAATCATACAGTGTTGAGACTCACCTGCTGAAGAAGATCTAGGTGCTCCTGGGAATTGCTGAAGTTTTTGCCAATGTCAAAGAGGCAGAAGGTCTCCTGCTGGCAGTTGCTGACCCAGTCCTGGTATTCCCCTAGGTCAGGGATGCGATCCAGAAAGATCCGATATGCTTCCCACACCACTTCCTGACACACTGCAAAACAGAACCATCGGGGGTGGAAAATGGCCACGTCCTCAGAATACCTCCTTACCCCAACCCAGGTACAACCTCCTAACATGGATAGTTCTTTCATGGCTTATGTTGACAAGCTAATTTACAGCCCCTAGAAATTAATTCATTTAACAAATATTTATTGAATACCTACTATACGCTATGGAGAAAAAGAAAAGAAAGTATGAATTGGGCATTTGTCTAAAGGAAGAGAAATAAGTTTATTGAAGAGTCGCCTACACCCCCACATTTGTTGCAGCACTATTCACAACCGTCAAGATATGAAATCAAACAAAGCACACAACAACAGATGAATGGATAAAGAAAATGTGGTTTATAATTTTGAATAGTATTCTAACTTACAATGGAATGCTATTCAGCCTTAAAAACAAGGTTGAAATCTTGTCATTTATGGCAACACGGATGGAACTAGAGGATGTTATGTTGAGGGGAATAAGCCAGGAACAGAAATTAAACACCCCGTGTTCTCATTCATATGCTGAAACTACAAAAAGCTGATCTCATAGAGGTAAAAAGAACATAGGATACTGAGGCTGAGAAGGGTAGGGGGAAGGGTAGGTTAGGGAACAATTTATTAAAGGATTCAAAATTGCAATTAAATAGGAGGAATAAATTCTAGTCACCTAGAGCTGAGGTCCACAGACTCCTGGGCCACAGACTGGTACCCATGGCCTATTAGGAACTGGGCTGCACAGCAAGGATGAGCAGCAGGTGATTCCTCTGTATTTATAGAGCTCCCCATTGCTTGCATCACCACGTAAGCTCTGCCTCTTGGTAGATCAGTGGAGTATTAAATTTTCATAGGAATGTGAACCCTACTGCAAACTGCACATGTGAGGGATCTAGGGATCCTTATGAGAATCTAATGCCTGAAGATCTGAGGTGGAGCTGAGGCGGTGATGCTAGTGCTGGGGAGCGGCTGCAAATGCAGATTATGATTAGCAGAGAGGTTTGAATGTACAATAAATGTAATGCACTGAATCATTCTGAAACCCTCCCCCAACCCCCAGTCCGTGGGAAAATTGTCTTCCATGAAACTTGTCCCTGGTGCCAAAAAGGTGGGGGACCACTGATGGTATGGTGACTATAGTTAACAATACCTATTTCAAATAGCTAAAAGAGAGGATATTGAATGTTCTCTGAATACAAAGAAATGATAAAAGTTTTGACATAATGGATATGCCGATTACCTTGATCTGATCACTATACATTGTATGTATAGAAACATAACTATGTACTCCATAAATACATACAATTATTATGTGTCAATTAAAAATGTAACAAAAGAAGATAGGGAATATGGTATACGTGTGTATGTGTGTGTGTGCGCATGTGTTTGTGTTTAAGACTGCGATTTAAAATAGGGTGGTTGAGGAAGACTTCACTGTCAAGGTAAATTATGAACATTTTGGGAAAAGTGAAGGCCCCCTAGGCTGGGGACTTCCAGGAGCACTGAAGGAACAGCAAGGATGTCAGTGTGGCCAGAGCAAGGTTGAGAGTCAGAGAGGATGAAGACAGAAAGATGCGGTGAAGCAGACAGACTGTGCAGGGCAGGGCAGACCAGCAGTCTCCAAACTGGGAGGTATGGCGCACACCTTTCAGCACAGGTATCCTGGCTGAGCTTGAAGACTTTCCAAGCGATGGGCAGTCACACAGACATTTAAAAGGCATCAATTTCCAGGTCTCAACTTCCCTGTGCATGCTTTACTAAAATTGGTCTCCCTGAGGACACACCTCTCCCTTTTCACTTCACCTTAGGGCACGATCCTCCCGTTCATCCATCCCTAATCGTACTGTGGCACAGCACCTCTGGGTTGCTCCTCAAAGAGACAGTTTGAGGGAATAATATTGAGATTGAGAGAGTAATCTAGTGGAGGGATAACACACATTTTGACAAACTCAGGTGATTTCTGATTCTTTGCTTTCAACAAATTAGAAGGAATCCTTATGCAGTTGACAGCTGATAGATCACAAAAAATAATCATGAGAGATTGTGATGTGATTATCGGCATATAACGCCAGAGGAATTTGAAGAATAAGGACACTACTATAACAAAATCCATCATTTCTCATCTACTTATTTATGTAAACAACTTTCTTCAGCACTTAACTGAACCTAAGTAAAATAATAGGGATAAAATTGATATAAACTCTGTCTCCTTTTAGCAATGCGCAATATAAATAATGACTAATTGTACATAAATTAACAGAGAAGCAAAACCAAAACAACCTCATCAATCCAGAGGTAGAAGCTTAGGAAGCTTAAGCTGTGGCTCCTTTGTTTACACTGATTCCTTCCAAAGCCCTGTTTTTAATTTTGCATTTCCAATTTTGTATTTACAAATATTAATACTCACAAAATGTGTATCTCACCCTACCTCCATCTGTCAAAAAAACCTTAAAGAAACTTGTCAGATTTATTATATACATTTGTTTTAATCAATTATATATTAAAATTATTATAAACATAACTGAATCCAAAAGAAATTTATTTTTAACACATAAAGCCTGTAGTCATAGGAAATAAAAATGTAATTTCAGTTTACATACTTCATATATATTTTTGTTACTAAGAAGTATTTTAGAGCAACCAATAACAGATTTTCAAGCATATATATAAATTACATTAAAATTAGACCCTGAGGGGGAAATGGAATGGAAATGTGGATGTATGGAGAAAAAGGAACCATATGACATTTCCTACTGTTTGGAAGAATTGTTCATGTATTTGTTAAGAGAATTTGACGGTAGGTATCGAGTGGCCATGGTAGATTCCACTGGATACATAAGAATGATCCAATTCTTGTTGTATTTTAAGTATCCATCTTTACATCCCATTGAAAATTACATCCTATCTAATTATTTAAACTTATGACGAAAAGCTTTAGATGTTAACTGAAAAGGGTAGGATATACAGCATAAAAATTATTTTAGGGGTTTAAGTGAGCAAAAAATGTTGGGAGACTCTCTTAAAAGCAATTGTAATATGCTGATTTTTACCTCTCAGGGGGAGGGAAGCAATTGGAGCCTTTTGGCAGAGGCTGACACCACCTAACGTTCTAAAGAAACACCTAAAGAACGCTGCTGTGCTGAAAAAAAGGGCTGTGGGAAACGATAAGAGGAGATAAGACCAGCTTGGAAACTCTTATCCTATGGCTTATCCCGCTTGTCCCCACTTGATCTATGTCTACCTGGCTAGAACCTTCAAGGCAACTGACCTTTCATATTTAGTAACCCACTGAGACAGAAGAGGGTGCAGTCCCCACCAGCTCAAATGTACCATCTAGTTCCCCACGTTTGGGGAAACATCAGGGGTCAACACATGTGGGAGGCAATGGAATAGGCTTGCCCTAGAGAGCTCACTTTTGTGAACATGACCTGTCTCCTGCCAGGCCAGGATCGGGGCATTTTAATCCCTTTCCTGATACCAAGCATCATGCAGTCTCTGGGCCTTCATCTCTAGTCAGGAGTCTGCATACCATGCAAGAAGGAAACGACACTTGGGTGTGTTCAGCTTTGTCCACACCCTAAGAGTTGTGTGTTTAGTGTGAGAAAACCATCTGTCCTTACTATCCTTCCTTTTTTGAGACAGGGTCTTACTTTGTTGCCCAGGCTGGAGTGAGTGCCGGGGTGTCAGCCTAGCTCACAGCAACCTCAAACTCCTGGGCTCAAGCAATCCTGCTGCCTCAGCCTCCCGAGTAGCTGGGATTACAGGCATGCGCCACCGTGCCTGGCTAACTATTTCTACATATATTAATTGGCCAATTAATTTCTTTCTATTTGTAGTAGAGACAGGGTCTCACTCTTGCTCTTACTCCTGAGCTTGAGCAATCCGCCCGCCTCGGCCCCCCAGAGTGCTAGGATTACAGGCGTGAGCCACCTTGCCCAGCCCTTGCTATCCTTCTTGCCTACATTCTGCACACTCTCTTGAGGGATGTTATTTTGCCTTTCCATCTTTCCACCTGCTAGTTTAGTTCCAAACCCATTTAAGTGCCAGAGATACAACAATGCATAAAAAATAAACTAACACTGCCTTTGAGGGCCTAGGGTTGGTAACTTTCACAGACAATATCTGTGTGAGAAACATCTGGGGAGACATAATGTAATAATCTCTTGCCAGTTAGGCATGACCTTGGGTGTGTTGCTTTCAGATGAAGATTTCCTTAAAAGGAAAGTAAACTTCTGTCCAATGCAAGCCTAACTAATTTTGCTCTTAGTTGAGCCTGGCTGTTTCTAGATGAGCCCAAACTCACACTTGCAAGCATCATGCCTGATGTAGACAGATGTATATAGAAGTTCATTTTCCCTGATGCTTTGTGGCCTTGGGACCTATCACGGGCTATGCAGAGTTTCTGCAGGCAGCATCCTCTCCTGTGGTTGGGGAGATTGAGGCTGAACTGTCAAGTAGGAGGTGCTTGTTTTTGGTGATTGTATCTTTTTAGTCAGGCTCCTCTCCCTGCTGTCCTTCCTCCTACCACAGGACACAGAGCTCCCCAGCTCCCTGCCTCTCCCTAAAAAAGTTTTATAAAGGCCTTGAGAAAACTTTCTCTCTGAAGCACAACATCTGAAGCTGCTTGAAGAATTCTCTCCCCAGGGCACGGTGGTTTACAGGGAACATAATGTGAAGGGTGAAACCTCAGACTCTTCTTTCTTGTGGCTCCTCTGATGTAATTTTCTGGCCTCTTAGAAGCTTCCTGCAAACCAGAAGTCACAGAATCCTTCTGTGATTGGGAGCACCAGCCCATCCTTACTGAAAAGTATATATATATATATATATATATATATATATATAAAAAAAAAAACAAAACCTTGAAGGCTGAGTCATCAACGTATCTCAAGGCTGGGAGGGATCCAAAAACTTCTCAAAGTTGGATTTTTCGAATCCTTTGATTTAACTGTTCTGTACCATCCTATTCTGAACCCATAGGGAGGGATTGCCACAGGGATTCTAGAGAAACACAACACCTTGTCTCCCTGGTCTTCCTACAGTTGCTGGCCAGCGCCTTGAATCTGGCTACAGGACATTAGCCTTTCTGCTGAAGGTCGTACCCTGGGCTGTTTGATGATGTACGAAAAACCCCAGAGAACACATACCCTGGGGGCCAGGCACTCATGTCTGTAACTGGAGGGTCAGACCTGCAGACAGTTATTCACAATTGGGAAGTATTATGTTAGACCAGTGGCATGTGAAAATGCCCAGTGTAGGGTTGGGTACATATTAGATGGAAAGATAACACACTGGGATGAGAGTCAGCACACTGGGTTCTAGTCCTGCTTTGCTGCCAACTGTGCCCCTGAGCACGCCACTTTTCTGCATCAGATCTCAGTTTTCTTATTGGTACAATGGGAGTGTTAGCTAGGTGGTCTCTATATTAGTGCTTCTAGAACTTTAGAGTGCAAATGAATTACCTGGGGATCTCCTTAAAATGCAAGTCCTGGCAGTAGGTCTGGGGTGGGATGTGAGATTCTGCCTTTCTGACAAGTTCCAGGTGGTGGTGCTGCTGCTGGTTTGCAGACAATGCTTGGAGTAGCAAGAAGAGGGACTCTGTCCACCTCTAACCTTCTCTAAGCCACACATCAATGAGGAAGAAAGATCTAGCTTCTGATATTGGGGTTGGGGGAGAAAGAGAGAGGGAGTGGGAGGGAGAGACATGGGTGGGATGAGGTGGAGGCCTGAGGAGGGCTGTCCTCATAGCAGGGAGTTGGGCTGCGGAGGAGCACAGAGTTCAATCTGGAGACCACCAGAAACAAACTTGCCTCTTTTGCATTTGTGCTTTGGGATGAGCATGTCAATGATTCTACCACAAATCTCAGAGCATTTTCACTGTGTTGCTTTAAGCACTGGGAAAAGAAATAACTCAATGTTCCATTTGATTTAGGAATATGGGAGCTTTCTCCCTTAAGTTTGAAAGATGTCAACAGATAATTTTGTAAAAGTAGCACAAGAATAGTGGGTTACTCTGTCAAAGGAACACGCTTTGTAGCTGGCTCTTATTTCTTATTTCTTGTTTCTTTGTGAACCAATTTGTTAGACTTAAGAAACCCACACTGATGAATAGTAAAATTTGCTATCACCCAGGGGCAGCCGTAAAGATAATGGACTGTCATTGCTGTGGGGAGAAAAACAAGCGTTTGTTTTATCCAGGGAAACAGAATGAAAGAGGCAACCTAATCAAGAAAAAACAGCTAAGAATGAAAACTCAGAGCTATGAATTTGGTTGCAGCAATAAGTAGTCTACAAATACTATAGTCCACAAATATTGTAGACTAAGTAGTCTACAAATTCTACAAATACCTGTAGTGACTCCTATTTGAGAATGTTTTAAAGAATTAGAAAACATATGAAAATCAGAATAGTTGCATTCATTTTCAAGGTGATGCAAATACTACATGTTTATACTTCTATCCCTGAACATGCAAGATGGAATTTACCAGTGTCATTGTCTGATCAATGTGTAGGCACACTCAAAGTGAGGAATTTACACATGTCCCAGTCTTTTCTTTGCATGCCCAATAGGCTCTCTATCTTCTGTACCTGTCAATAAGTGTTTACTGAGAAACTGCTTTGTGGAGATGCTAGGACCCCAGAATATTAATACAGTGCACTTGATTGTCTATTATTAGAGCCCTCCTGACTATGATCCAGTTCTTCTCATGTTTCTGTGGGTGTGGCTTCTGTCAGAAGGCAAATATGTTTTTACTTCCATATAAAATGAGACATATGAGGAACATAAGGCTTGATATTTTTGAGACTGTTAATTATACCTCCAAAATCCCTTAAGAGCACCTCAGATTAATTTAACCGGTGCACAAGGACTTTGCTGGATGTTAGTAGTGTGAAATGGGTTCTCGGTTGTCATGATGTGCAACACATCACAGGCTAGAATTGAACCAGCTTGCTCTAGGCACTGGGCTTTAAATAGAGCAGGGTGGCTCTGCTTTCGGGAATGGAAGCAAACATCTAGTGTTGTTAGGCAGATAGTGAGGGATTCCCAGTCTCCTAGGGATGAAAGTGGGTCCCGGTCTTATTGCCACCCCACCTTAGTCCTGTCCCAAATGACTGCCATACCTGGGGAGAAGGGGATACCCTACGAATCCACCAATCAGAACTTATTGTGCCAACTGCAAAAGAGTGTAGAGGACTCTCTAGCTCACAGGCCAAGCAGCATAGGTATGATAGGGTCTGGAAAGTGACCTAGAACAACTAGCTTTCAGAGAGGCTCATGGGAGATCCACATGCGCAGTAAGACTCAAGTCATCTAACTCCCAGCTGTCCAGTCAAAGTGGTTCCATGGTGATGTCTGAGCCACGAGGGAGATCCCAATCCAGACACTACAAAACAAGACTGAGACCATACATAACCAAGCCCCTCTTTTGCCCTCTTTTGCTATGATAATGGGTCCGGTCATCATCTGTGATGTATGTGTCTCACTCTGTTAACCTATATCTTGTCCTTGGCCTATAATCCTATCTTTCTCTTCTTCATAAACCTCATTTTCGTGGTGGCCGTACTCTGGTGTGTCTGGTCATTCTTTGGCCATGAGCATACCAAGAACTGAGCACACAGAACCGACATTTCAAACTGAAATCTGACAGTGTGATTAAGGTGGGATTAGTAAACCCCCTCAACCTTCGCCTGTAAGATGAATTGAATTTAGGCCTTAGATAGACAGGATACTTTGCATGATTTGCAGTTACCTGGGGAATTTGAATAGTAGCTACCAAAGATTTGTTTTCTTTTAAAGAAGCAGCCAAAGTAATTTTTTCATCCAGGGTGAATGAAGGACTTCAGGAAATTTCAACCTAAAATATGACTCTTGGTATAAAGACTATTTTGAATTACAGGCCCTCAGAAATCAACAGGCCCTTGGAAGGGGCTTACCCTCTACCTGTGTAACCAGATGGACCTATGAAAATAACGATCAACTTCTTTTCTCCTTCCTGTTAACCCAATATATTACAGGAAAGAAGATCAAGAATGCAACCCGACCTGGCCCAAATCATTTTAAACATAATTTTAAACATCTCAGTTTAATTTACAAGTCAATCTATTCCCCCTCACATCCATTCATTCTCCCCAAGCATCTTTTCCTCCTCTCCAGTGACCATTTAGCAACCCCTTAACAGAATTGCCTATATTCCTCTCCCTGCTAAAAGGAAGTTATAAAAATATCTGAATCCTGTTGGCATATTGGGTAATCATTCTGTCATTCTCCCTGTGCGCATGTTAAATAAACCTCTTTCTTTTATTAATCTGCCTTAATTGTGAGTTAATCTTCCAGTGAACTTTCGAGGGAAAGGGCAAGTTTCCCCTCACTCCCACATACGTAAATGAAAAGGACAGCCACTGATGGCCCTGCTGCGATTTAACTCCTCAATGATTTCTGGGGGATGCTATCAGAATCCTGTTAATGCTGTCTCAGGGTAAAAACTGCGCTGTAACTCTGCTAGAAACCATAGTAATTGTGTTGTAAATTCTGTTAACACACCTGCATTATATCTTGGTAACCACTCCTAATCTGTGAGTCCTCTGTACTCCAGTGTGCCTCCAGGTTTCCAAACTTCAGAAGTTTTTGCTGGGTCAGCAACAAACAACCTGAACTTATCAAGAAGGGAAAGAGGATCTGGAGTGCAATGTTGCTTTTGAAAAATGAAATCTTAAGTCATAAATCAACTCGCTCAGATTCTTGACACTGCAATCATCCTGTGCTTCCTCCTCATAAGAATGATATTAAAATTCATTATTGAGCTTTGGCAAAAATAAAAATAAAGAGGTAAAATCTAGATGCTAAATCTTTCTGGTGACTTGTAAATGCCCTAATGGTTCTATGTTGCACAAGACATGATTTTAAACTATAAGAGCTGATAGCTACCATAGTTTTGAAAGCTTATTATTCATTAATATCAGATATAGTGGGCTGATTTTTATGACTCTTGTGGCTAAATGAGAGATCCTGGAATTTTTGGGCTGAAGACAACCTACAGATGAATGAAAGGGAGAGGTTGAAAATAACAAAGGGCTAAACAGGTTTCATCTCTCTCCTTACCTCTCAATCTATAATAATCTTGAAGACTGGCTAAAATCTGTTTCATGGATTCCTGCGGACAGACTTTAAGCCCCGTTGGGAAAAATGCTGATCTTTTTGTTCGATGCTTTGTCAAATCGTATAATCGTCTCATGGTTGACACTTTGTACATGTTTTCAGTTTCGATTCTTGGGACATTGTCTATGTCTTTAGTTTCAGAATGGTTTATTTTAGTGGAGATATCTGTAAAAGAAAGATTGATATCCTGGTGAATATATACATTTATGTGATATATATGACATATATAGATAATTGAATGAGATAAACTAAAAATTAATATTCTCCTGTTTATGAAATTTATACCTCGGTGCAACTGCCAAATGTAATATTCCAAATGACAAGGCATTTTCAGAAATAAGAGACTAGTATAATGAGGTGATCAAGAGTATTTTTAAAAAGCCAACGTCTCAAATCATCTTGCCTTTAGGAACTGCCAAATATTGAGACCAGTTCCCACACATGTCTCTAAAAATCACTCCCCACTTAGCACTCAAGCTTCCCAAGAGATGCCTCTTTTGATAGACGTATTCATAATACACTTCAAGTGGGGAATGATACAGCCCCATGGTGCCCAGAGGTGTACTCTTGATGAGGAAGTGGAGTGCTTCTGAAAACCTATGGGGGGAAATGCAACAAAATAATCTTCCTGCTATTAGTGGCAGCCCTAGGATTTCTATACTGGCAGGGCTCAGCGGATGGTAATGTGGCTGAAAGTGAGTTGGGCAAGGATGTGTCTTAGAATTGCATTTACAGAGCAAGCTTACTGTTTTAGGGGTGGTGGTTGGGGGAGGTGGGAGGAAGAATGAAGGGGAGGACCCAGAGAAGAGGCTGGCAGAGAATGTAACTCCCTAAGCCATTTTATTCTGCTGGCATGCTAGGTCTAAGTAGGGTTAGGTCTAGAGTTCATTTACAGCTTTCTGGACCTCTTATAATAATAACTTACATTCACTGAAGCACCTTTTTATTTTGAATTTTTTTATATGCATTACATTATATCATGCTCACAAAAGCTTTACTGTATAGATGAAACATATTATTTTTCTCAGTTTACCACGCAGTTATATACTGAGGCTTAGAGCTGGTAAAGAATGTGAACAGTAGAGTCAGACCTTTATTCTTCTACTTCTCTTCTACTCCATCTCTTTCCTTTTACCCATTCTACCATTTAAGAAAGGAATTATTGATGAACAGTTGGGACCACTTACTATGTATGGCCCCTTGTGATTCCAAATGTGGTTTACAGAGATTTATATTCCCATTTTTACTAGGGAAGGCTCTTAAACCCAGATCTTCTTGGTGTAGTCAAGGGAAATCAAGCAGAAATCTGAGCAGGGTAGCTGGAGAGCAATTCAAATCTTGTCAAAGAGTGTAAAAGTCTCTCTACATTATAGGGGTGGAGAGAGTACTGGTGGGAACACATATTCCCTGCCACCTTGAGGAGTCTCAGAGTGCTCTATCAGTCTTGGGTAGTGGTAAATTCTCAGGAAAGAATCTCCAGGAAGGAAGGGAATTTGAAGATCAGTTGGCTCACCCAAACACACACTAGATCAATAAACCATAATCTTTGGGTTAGAACACAGGCACCAGCAATATTTGAAGATTCTCAGGTTAATTCCAACAGGCAGACAGGTTTGGGAACCTCTGTTATATAGATCTGTCAGGATGCTTCCAGCTGAAGAATCAAGATTGTCCTTCTCAATCTGCCTTACACAGTAAGGAAGTCACCACATGCAAAGGAAAGCCAGAGGTAGGGAATGCCTGGTGAAAATAGAGCTCTGGCTCTGCCTTTCTGCCATTCTCTGAGCTCTGTCTCCTCATGTGGGGACCTCACCCATGGGTGGGCTTCCATTAAATTCCCCTCATGGAGGCCAGCAGCAACTGGAGCAACTCACTTACTCTCATTCATGTTGAAAAATAGTCTCTCCCTTATGTCTGGCTGACTTAGGCCATGTGCCCGGCCCAACACCAGTTGCCAACGGACACCCCAGTGCTACTGGCTGGATAGGAGTAATCACAGGGCAGGGGACTAGGATGACCTGAAGTGGCTCATCCTGACTGTGGAGTTGGAGTCAGTTTTTCCTGAGTCATACCGGCTATGTGGCGAAGTGAAAGGTGCCCATTCAACATCGGGGCGAAGTGCAAGAGGGGGACAGAAGTCACACACATAGATAGCCGTTAGTGTCACTGCAGTTAGTAAAATGTGAATTTTTGTGTAGGAACATTAATTTTAAATAACCCTTTCAAACAGTTTTAGATCACAATAGAGTTGTCAAAGTAAAAAGTAAGCTTTTGTAATTATATTTTAATTGCCGTTTAGAATGGAAGAAGAAGCTGTGTCATTGGGTAAAATTCTAGGCCTGTCTGGTGTAGCATAGACCACACTTGGGGAGACCGTGCCCCGTATGCCCTGCCTGTCTCCATTCTTCTCACACTGCCTGTTGCAATGCGGGGGGGTGGGGGGGTCCTATTATTGTGCTAGTCCTTTCTCCACCTTGTGACCCCCACAATCATCAGTCCTTTGGGGTTGGTCGTATTCTTATGTTTTATGTTATGCTCTGTAGAATGATCTGAATAACTTGGCTTGGGAAGAGTATTCCCTCCACCCGGGCTCTGGAAACAATGTATATTGTTTCAAAATAGCTAGAAGAGTAGATTTGGAATGTTCCCAACACAAAGAAATGATAAATGTTCGTTGGAGTTGATGAATATCTTAATTACCCAGATTTGGTCATTACACATTGTATGCTTATATCAAAATATCACATGTACCCTATAAATATATAAAATGATTATGTAGCTATAAAAAAATTACAAATAAAAATATCTGAAAAAAGCATCCAGCACAGTGTAAACATGCAATAAGAGCTCCTAGACCATAGAATGACTATAGTTAGCAATAATATATAGTTTCAAAAAGCTAGAAGGAGGATGAATATTTCTAACACAAAGAAATGATAAATGTTGGAGATGATGGATATGCTAATCTACCTGATCTGAGTACTACATATGTATCAAAACATCACTATGCATCTCATGAATATGTAAAATTATTACATAGTGTCAACTAAACAAATTAAAAAAACAGTCAGAGCCTTACAAATAGTAAGCACTCACATGTAAGACATTATGATTAACATTTTAATCATCCTGAAAGAAAAACTCCTTTATCAGATAATCTAGGCATCCACTTCCCAGTATCTCTCTTCTGTCTTCCATTCTAACATGACCTTTCACTATTCTGTTCCTCAGTCCTCAGACAAGACTCTGCCTGGGCCCTGAAGCCTTCCTGGGCTTCCAGACTGCAGCATTCATCTCAGTTTGTCTTCCCTTGCATTACTGAGGGCCCTTCTCTTCCTTCTCTGTTTGCTGTATTCCTACCTTTTTATAAGGACCAGCTGAAATGCTACCTTCTCTTCTTTCTCAGGTCTCACATTCAGAATTTACTACTTCCTCCCTCTTGTTTGCAGCATGGCTCATATCTCTGTGGCCTTCATTGATTCACCAGTATTCATTGTGTGACTACTATGTGCCAGGCCCACTATGGTACATAATTGTAAACTTGATGAACAAATGTCATGGAGCTTGTGTTGCAGTGCTTGCTTTGTCCTGCCTTGAACAATAATTTGTTGTAAATATCTAAGTTTCTTCCTTTAGACTGCAGATACCTTGAGGATTTGTATTGCAATCCTGTCATCCCCTCCCCAGTTTACCTAGTACACTGTTTTGTACGTGACAAATATGCAATACATGTTAATTAAGTGACAATGAAAAATGGCCTGTGGAAATAGTTATGTTTTTTCTTTACAATATATGTATGAATTAGATTTGTTTTAAAAACCATTAGACTATGAAAAATAGCTTCATATGTCCTGTCCACCTACATTGTCACAACTTCCTTTTTAAGTTTCTGTCCCTTCTCTGGTGTCTAATATCAGAGGCTTATGACATAGTCATCTTATTGAAGATAATATCCTAAGTGAAAAGACAAATAAAAATTCTTCTGTGAGTGAATACCAAATGAACAGAAAACAGATGGTTTATGTATGAAGTATGCTTTAGTGAAATCTGTATTCCTAGGCCCTTTCAATTTGTCCATACATAAATAATCAAGAGAACCAATTAAGAATGTGGGTATCAATGAGGAAGAATATCATTGAAAAGCCTCTTTAAGGCTTCAATGCCCTTGCTTCTTGATTATTGAACCTGATTGGTAAAACCACACTTACGGTTAAATCCGACTCTCTGCCTATTCTTTATCTGTGCCCTTGTAGCTGAGCACAGCTGGAGAAAAACAAGCATCAGGACTCACTTTAAATGTATGATCCTTAAATAAAATCATACGACACTTCCCTGGTCCATTCAATTTCCCACTCTCTGGGAGAACTACACACAACTGCCCTCAGATTTCCTGTACCTTCCTTCCGATTCTCACTCTCAGCTGCTGACTTTGCTTTACATTTTACTGCTAGCAAGAGAAGCCAAAAGAGAACTTCACGAACTTCCAGCACTGCATCTGCTCACTGGCGGCGTCTCTGCTTTTGTACTCTGCTTTCTGTGACTATGTGATCCTTGGTCTCAGCTCCTACCTAAGACAACTCCCTTACTTAGGCCCTGTATCCCATCCTTTTTTACTTCTCAAGGACATTCTTCCAGAAACTCTCTCTCTCATTTCCCTATGTCATTATTTTCCCCTTTTCTACTGAATTATTTCTAGAAGCATAGAACATGAACATGCTATTACTTTTCCTTCTATTGAAAAACTGTCTCTTTGTACTACACCCCCTCCAGCTATTGACCCATTTTTCTATTTACACTTATAGCAAAACTCTTTAAAAGATTTTTCTCTCCTTTTCCAGAACAAAGCAAGGTCCTGCATGAATGAGAATCCCCTGATAACACATGCATAGCTACTAGCACCCTGTCTTCATTCTCTCTCTCTCCCTTTTCCTTTCATTCTCTTTTTATTTCGATAAATGTGATGGGCTCATAGAGCCTGGTGTATTAATATGCTAATATGACATTCCACCAGAAGGTGTCGCTATCTAACACATAATAGGCTGAAATTGACCATAAACTATAACTCCAATGATCACCTCTGTGAATTTGGGCATTAACATTTGTTGATGGAGGTGGTGTTGAGAGTGATGATTTTGTAGCAAAATACACCATTTGAGGAAGGGCTG